CATATTCAAATGAGTGCTAGATAAGATCTTTTTCCTGGTTTTTGATACTGCATGGGGATTTTGGGGGAAGGGGGAAGTGGGGCGAAATACTACTGCCAGTGGTGTAGCCAGGGTGGTAAGATTTAGGGGCAAAGGTGAGTTGAGTGGAGAGCAAATGTTAGTCCACGCCTTTTGGAACGCCAAAACCCCCTTCCACGCCAAGTTTTGCTATTGCCACCCCCTCCTCCACTACGCTACTGACTACTGCATACCCACATTATACTCAAGAGTCATTTCATGCAGATAATCCTGCAGCCTAGACATCATAGTTGCACTGTGAAAAAGCCAATTCCATTGACACGGACCCAAAGTGACCCACACTGACCTACCATGTACGCCATCACCAGACAATTCGACTAACATGTGGCAAAGATATCCTTATAGATAAATACAATTTGGCTGTCTCGAGGTTCGTTTTAATCACATTGAAACTACGGGCACGAAATCAATATGTTCAATGAAATCTTCTTTGCGAGGAAGTACTGGAATTTTCGCTTTTCGAAGAAAGACGTACATTGCTAAAGATGTAACCTGTGTCGCACGCTATTTAGAACATGCGATCATGTCTTAACTTCGCATTAGACTGTTAAAGGTCGACGAAATTTGGGGCTGACAAAACTAACCTTTAATGTATAGCTAATGGTGTCTAGCTATAGGAGGAGTGTTTTAGAGGGGGGAGGGGTGTAACACCCATAACTGGTCGGTAGATCTGCAGTTGGTCCACAAAATCGTTACCTGGCGGTAAGTGAAATAGGATCTACGATCATCGGAAAATTTAACTTTTGATGACCTGAAGGTCAAATAACATCACTGAAAGGGTGCAATGTCATCAGAGAGGATAGGCCACCCTCATGAAAAAGTTCTCAAAAATAGGAAAAAGTAGGAAAGAGTCAATCTAGCTCTACATCCCTCCATTACAAGTAACGTGTCTACTGCCAGGGGATAAAAGAATAAACCATATCTACCTCTATGAACAGGCACTGCAAAGCGACATTATCTACGTTAACAATCCCTTGATATTCTAGATCTGGGGTCCCCAAATTGATCGATATCGTCAACAAATCTACTTATTTATCACCAATATTCATTTTTGCTAAACGTCTGGGGGTCGACAAGAAATCAAGGGTGCATGGAGGGGTCAATATCCTCAGAGTTTAGGACCTCCTGTTCTAAAAGATAAATAGTGTTATTGCCGCATCGGACATTTCGGAATAGATAACTTTGTGATCCTTTGCAGTGTAGCACGAGAGATGATTGATGTCAAGGTGCTATTTATCCAGTGTTAGAAGGAGTTTGGAGGCTTTAGGTTTCAACTCGTGCAAAGCTTGAGACAGGAAAACAGAAGGCTTATGAATCAAAGACACATCGTACCAAAAGACACAATTTCCTGTGTCTATAATCGTAAATTCAGCAGGAAGGCACAACTTTGATATTATCTGTGGCATAAACTCGTATACGAAGAAGGCCATCGAATTCACGAATGCATTACAGTACAAGATGGAGTAGTCTTGGGCACAGAAACTAGAGCTTGCTTCTGTAAGCATTCTTCAATAGAACTAATCTTTCTGACCACATCTTGTCCGTTGTTCTATTGTGTCCGATATTAGAATGTGTCCGTTAATTGAGGCTGCTAAATAATCATGGCAATATAAAAAACACTAGGTTCAGTTTTTTATCATCGAAATAAATCTTGTTAATGGGCTTCTGTTTTCAAGCTAGTGCTTCTTTGACTAGTAACTTTGGCCCTTGATGACAGTTCAACGAGGGCCAAGAGCTTCCATTTTGCAGAGGTTACACACAAGCTCACCAGTTCATTTCAAGATGGTTATGGCATGAATGTAAAATGAGATCGTAAGAAGCAGCATCGCATGGTATCAATAAATCAGAAAGTATAACTTCAATTCAGATAGTTAATAATGCAATTGGTAAGTAAATTCTAGGGAAATGCCTCCCCTGGTTCAAAAATCAAAGGTTCCTGTTTCTATTCTAGAGCCTCCGTGACAGAGGCACCAAGGGTACTGGAGGCAGCATGTTTGGTTTCCAAAACTTGGTCACTAGTTATTGGTCTCCAACTATTAAGGTTAATTTTGTGCCAAAGAACCATGATCAAGAGATTACTCCAACGCAATCGTGTAGAATAGAACTAAATACAGATTTTGTCACATGGGTTTGATCCGACTATCGTAAATGCGGAGGCAGCGGAAGAATGTGAAACAAAGCGTTTGAAATGCTTTTGCATTTACAGAGGGCGAACTTCAGTGGAGATCAAAGAATGCCCTGTTTGGCGTCTAAAGACAGTTAAGAAATTTCATGAGACGTAGTTACGCCTAACAACAAATCACTGAATTCAATAAGAGAAAATCTTATACAAAGTGTTTGTAATACTCTATCTAGAAATAGTGTTTGCTAACGATAAGTCACTTTGCCAATAGAAAGGAACCCTTAGACGTAGGTTGTTCCCAGGACTTCTCCATCGTCTTTCGAAATATGAACAGTGAGCAGAATCGACAAAGATTGACGAAGAACTAACTGTACAAGACAACGAATATATCAAAATAACTAACAGGGACGCCGGAGCAGGGAGGATGTAGTATCGAAGAAACTGATAGTAGAGATAATACGGGGTTGCCAATTCGTCTAGACCCTTGTTGCTTCGTCGCTAAACGTTGTTAAAAATTACATGGGCTCCACACAGGTTGGAAAGTGGAGGGGGGGGGGAGAGAGCCGAGGGAAAATTTAACACCCATAACAAAAGATTTTGAAAAAGCCCAATTGTTTTGTAAAAAAGTGGAGGGGACATGGCCTTCGTGTGTGAAATCTATTATAATCATTTCTTTGAAGTTACTCGTCATGTGGATATAGAAAATCCACAAGGAATGAGCTTTTAAGGGCTTTTAATATTCCATTCGATATCGGATACTGATCTTGTCAGCCTTAGCGGTAACAGATATAACGATTCAAAGGTTCAATTATGATAGGTATTTTCAGTGTAAGGAGTACCGCTTTTATGCGCTGTTCATCAGTTTTTGATGTCCAGAAATAATGAGGATAGGAAAATTCAACTTTTAACCTCGAATATTCAAAATCACAATTTCAAACGACATGAAATAAAAGAACAATAAAGGAAATGGGAATGTAGGATCAGAATGAATGAAATGTTTAACTTTATTCCTTTCGTTCGACGTAAAATCCTAAATTTCGCACAAAAAGAAAAAGTAAATAAGTATTTTCTTCTTAACTTTAGCAAAAAGCCTTGGAATATTTGGGTCTATTGCTTTTTCTAGCGAATTGAACCTTAACAGCACACCGTTTACTCATATGAAAATTTCTTTGGTGTGATAACTTGCAGCATTCAGACCAGTGTAGAAAAAGGGGTGAGCAACGTCGGGATAGGATGCAAGAGGGCACTTTCCAATACCCCAGGACTGTTAAATTTCTGAAAATTAGCAGTCATCACTTTTCAACTACTGCGAACTCTCGTGGTATTTCGAAATACGCACGGTAAACATTGGACCAGCACTGATCCATTCATACACACAAGAATTTCCATTACAAATATCAAATTATTTGAGCAGATCATCTGCAATGCTTGAAAAATTTAAGAGAAGCTGACACCACTAAAACCAACATAAAAAATCCCCGAGGATCCTTTGGCACATTACGTAAAGGACAGGAAAACAGTCAAATGGCTTTAACATTCATCGTTGGAATGCAAGCTTGCCTGAAAACAGCTAATATTTGGATACTTGCTCTATGTACTAAGGTCTTAAAGTTCCATTTCTAGAACTCAGCATTTAAAACATAGTAACGAATGCACGAAAGCAGATCTGTAGTTTTTCTATAGGTAAACAAGATAAACTTTGGCAAAAAGTTGTTTACATTGATTTAAAAAATATATTTAAATATACATATACAGTATTACAAGTGGGGAATCTTCTTCGAAGACTGGGAGACGAAAGTAGAAAAACACTATTTGTTGTACAGTTTCCAAAGAGGGTGGCAAAGTATGTGAAGGTGACGAGAAGGTGAAGGTGGCGATTTTTGTGAAGGTGATTCGAGGTTGCTATTAGCATGGCAGTATCCTTACAATAAAGTGTATGACTCCCGAGGATAAAAGTTACTTTATAAGATACATCGGTGTACAACGGCTGACGGGGGTTCCAAGTCGAATATTTCCAATACCACCTCTGAGGCTGCAAGTATCCCCAGCAGATACCTAACTTAAAATACGGAACTTATAGTATGCGAAACAAAACAGCGATGAAGACATTGGAATCTTCAAACCAATAGGACCACACCCATTTTAAAAACTGGCTCTACCCCAGTTCTGAAAATCATTTTGTGGACCATGAGAACCAATGAAAAGAACTTATAGACACTGGGCAAACAGCTTGTTTGAAATTAATATTTGACGATGGTCGCTCAATAAAACATTGCAAAACTTGTGGATTTCCATGCGCAATAAGAGCAAATATGGCAGTATTGGCATTTGGCAATCCAATTTCAAAGCAAAAACGGCACCAAAGTTGACAAATACGAAACCACCCTTTCACTGTGACTCGTTGGTTTAGTACTTATTCTAGAAAAGAAATACAAACACGGTTTTTTTATCAAAAAGCAGAAGAGGGCAAAGCGAAATGAGTAATGAGTAATGAGTAATGAAGGCACGCTTGAGTTGATGTGGGAACGTGGAAAATTGGGAAATCCACCTTTTCTTCAGCCATCCCTTTCACAACTTGTTCCTCTAAATATCAGCCCAGCCGTAACTAAAAAAAAAATTTGATACTAGTTGCACGTGAATGAGACTGTTAAAGGAGATGCACGTGAATGAGACTGTTAAAGATGAGGTAAAATCAGCAAGGTTTTCCAATGTCGTTTGGGATACTTCCTCTTAGAAAAGGGTTTGCCAGAGATGCGACTGATTTCAAATCAGGGATACTAGTGAGGGGGGCGTAGGGGAGAGGCAGCCACCCCTCTTGCCCATTGATAGGAGAGGTAAAGGAGTCAAAGAGACTTTTTCATAAAAATGCCCCTGACATCGGCTTTTTGCAATTATCAAAGAGATCTATATGACATCCTGATTGAAGTTCCTTATTCATGATGCAATTTCTCAAAATTTGTAGAAAATTCTTATGACAGCGGTTAGCCCAGCTTTAAGATGCCAACAAAAAACGAAAATAAAGTGACAGTTACAAAATTTATTAAGAATTACTTTTCAAATGTCCTTTTATTGAAGCCAGCTCCCTACCCTTTGGTTATTCCGGCGTCCCCGTTTCAAATTAAACAATCCTTTGATCGAATGGCTACCTTCGGTAAAAAAGATAGAAAACAAATACAAAATTAACATATCATATTAAATTGAAACTTCCCAAAAATAAATCATAATATAAAGCGTTCTAAATACATTTCATATGTAATCACACACTTACTGAGCATCGATTTAATTGGAAAATTCAGATGGAATTATTGACACATAGAAAACTCCGAAGACCTCATTTCTGTATTCGCCCTTTTTATCTCATAAATTCTTGACATTACCACATATTTAACAACTAATAAACATTTCGCACACTGAACTCACATTACACCGAGCCAGGAAAAGCCCATTATCGCACCCTTTCTACATTTCGAATGCCCATTCTGCGGTTTCTTCCACCCACTATGAGTTACGAATAAAACAATATTTAAGAAGTGTTTTTCATAACGTCAACTGAATTCACGATCGTTCCAATAAATCATGCTTAACAAGGTGTAAAGTGAACTGCATTGTTGGTAAAATCCTGGACCTAAAAAAGGGAATTTAGTATCTCTATATTGAGCATGTTTTAGTGTACCTGAAATCCGAGCCACAACTTTTGGGACAAGCCCCTGCAAGTGAGTGCCAAGCTGTGTATCACTCCAATAATTTTGAATTTGTGCATTTTAATAGTAGAGAAATTAACATAAACTGGGGCAGGCGGTTAGAACTTTGAATATGGTCTGTCCAAGGATGTAGGTTGAAATTCGGTTTTGCTAGTCAGGGCCCTAGCTACTATTGTTATTGTAGGGACTTATGACACTCAAAACATTAAATATCACTGGTTTTATAAGACCCACCTCTTCTGCTCTTTATTCTCAAACAACGGGGTGCCCCCCCTCCCCAGTAACCCTATCCTCCCTACGGTCCTGTTATACGAGAATTGTATCAAATACAATGCAAGCAATGAAAATGTCCTGTTCATCGATAGCTTCTTGGAAATAACTTGCCTCAATAAATCTAAGAACACAGATTGCTATTCCATTCAACCTATCAGATATCAGGAACATGCCATGATTATCAAAAAAGTGATATTTTATGCGAAATTTTATAAATTGAAAATCACTAAGAATAGGCCATGCTACATACTGTTTCATATTATTTTATAAAGTGGCTTTGAAAAAAGCAAACATTTAGTAAACTAAAGCTTTACGTCTGACACTCTTCAGAGTTTACAACGTCAGAACATAGACCGAAAACTCTACGCTAGGAAGTGATATTTTATAAAGTATTCATTACTATTCAGAGTTTGGGGAAATACTAAAATAGGTTCAAGGTTCGTATCTCACAAGCAAATGACTTCCATAAAAGATGAATAGGATATCAAAGATTTCATAGAGATTTCTAGCGAAGCACAGGGATTTATGTCATAAGTAATGGGGATTTGTTCAGCCCCTCAAATAGCGAAATGATGTTGCCAAGGAAATATTGCGGTTTCGGGGGGAGAAAAGCTTTCAGTCACAAGGTGATCGATTTTTGCTTCACAAAGGTACAACTATCATTTTTGCCTGCAACTTTTGAGATCTAACCATTAGAATACTCAAGTGAGCCAAAATGACAATTAACGACTAAAAGATATTCACTGCTTTACATAAATATTTAAAAAATCAATTGATTCTGCTAAAAGAATTCAAATTACATGGATTCTCCCAGAGACAAGCAGACTCATAATGAACAGTAAAGATAAATGAAAGAGAGGCGGGACACTTCCCTTTTCCAACGAACTAAAAAGGCATTAAACCATCAAAATAAAGGGGGTTTTAAGAATCAGGTTTCTCCAGAAGATAGCTCAGCGTTTACTCGACTCTAAATGACTGAAAAATGTTCCTTTAATCCTTACTCATATCTTCCACACTTTAAAGCTATGGAAAGAAATAGGCTAAGTGGAAAATAATCCACAAAAATATTGACAATGTTTGAAGATCTGCGCTACGCAAGCATCCCATAATGCATTGTCAGACAGTCTAAAAACAAATTTGGTTAAACCGTAGAAGTTTACCGCCATTGCTTGGGTCGTCGCAAAGGCTCATTGTTAGCAATGAGTCTTTAACTGACCTTGCCTTGACCAATCATTGATATTTAACTTCTCACGTGATTGACGTTTATTCCGCTCAAAGAAGCTCCTTCTATCTTGTAATGCTGGTTAAGGTGGCAGGAAAAGGCGACGATAACGAAACTCCCGAAGCAAGTAACAGAATTCATGAAATTACAACTTGGAGTACAAGAAAGAGTTATCCGCAAATTTTAACGGTACTTACAAGCGTTCGATCTGAATGTTGATAAATCTATCAAAATTTAAATTGAAGTCTAGAAAATATACACTGGGTTGTACTGAATACAATAACAAGATGTATAAATACTGGAGAATCATTACAAATTGATAGAACACAAAGACTGAAATACAAGAACGCGAGCACATATATACTAACACATGTGGTAAAGAATGTCAAAGAATATTTTGAATGAAGTAAGCTTTATAAGTAGAAATAAATTAGACAAAACTGTTTTATAAACAAACAGAACTCCTCTAGGAATAATATTTATTGCAACCATATAAAAATGCAAAAATTAAATACGTAAATCGTAGAATGGCTTAAACTTAGAATCTATATCACTCAAAATCTATATCTTAAAGTCCGTGTTTAAAAGAAGTGAAAATTAATTTGGAATCTAAAATGTTAAATGAAATGCTTACACCAAAAGATGCTACGAAGTTTGAATAAAGAATTGATTGCTACTCGATAATGGGGCTGGAATCGTCATATTTTTAGAATTCCTTTTTGACACTTTTAGTTAAAATATTTAAATACTCGGGCAACGTGGAAACATAACTGACACATTGGTTTTTGTGAGAAAGGTTTCAAAACTTAGGAGTATCGACCAGAGGAAGGGTTAAGGATTTTTTGACTTGCATCTCTGGACTTGCATCTAGACATCTAAACACTTATTATTTAAATTCAAACATAAAAAGTTAAGTCTTATGTTTATAATTATCATTTAAAATTGCCGATTTAGCTGAGAAAACAAAAACAGAACTAAATACAAATAATCATCAATTCAGACGTTTTACTTTTACAGTTGCTAATAATTTTAAATACAAGTTCCTTGTCAGTAAAAACTTACAAATGCTATTTGTTGACTCTCTTTTTTATAAAAGTATAAAAGACTATACTTCTCTACAATTTCAACACGATATGTACAATGATAGAATTTCAAACTAGCTTGCGGAACCAAGTCAATATTTGTAAAAATAATCCCCGATTTTTATAAACTGGGGCTGGCCTAATTTAAGAGTGATTTCGCTCGAAGGAGAAATCTGTTTTGATTAGGCAAGAATTATGAAAGTTTCAATACATTTATTTCATAATAACTTGACACCACATACGCAAACACGTATAAATTTAAAGCACGAATTAAACGTTGCAGTCTATTAAATAAATGTGAGTAATGACTCAATTTAAGACCCACTGCATGTCAAGTGTTAGCATCATGGTAGGGTGGAACCAAAATGGCCGCTGTTGTAGCATCATCACATGTTGCAAGCTGAATTGCATTTGATCCTGACGGCATTTCTCAACAAACTATTCTTTTTCCTTGCAGAAGTATGTCCTTCACGGTGCTGATAGTCCAACCAACCATACAGTCGAAATTTGTTCGCATGCGCCATAAAAACTCCAACAAAATTTGTTTACATTGCCCAAAAAGCAGATAGAGAAATAACAACAACAACATCGCCAACAAAGCTAATATCAGCACTAACCTTTGAGAAACAGGACACCAAAGGTTTGTGGCGATGACGTCAAGAGCTCGGTCGCATCCAGACCACTTGCGTTGTTCATTATGCTACTGATTCGACGGCGTCTTCAGCTCGCTCAGTGTCATATTCGCTAAGGAGCAATGCCAGGCCTGAATCTCGATTTGCAGTAGGAGAATCTACAAGAACATTGTAGTGAAAATCATCTAGGACTTCGAGAGCAATGACGGATTTATCATCTGTCTACAATTTAATATAATTTAAAGACAATTTAATATAATTCTAAGTTTTCAATCTTTTATCTTCAGGTTTAATAATTAATTTTATCAACGTTTTCATCATTAAAATCTTCTCTAAAGTCTTCATCTTTTTCTCGTTCAAGACACCTCTCTTAAAAGTGCAATAAAACTGACCCTTTTCTATAAAAATATCATAAAAATCTTACCAGAGTCGGGGTCAATTTCTCCTTCCTCATTTTCGTTTTTCGGAAGTAAAGAGTAGCCTTTGAAAGGCAAGGCTGGGTCTCTGCTTCGCAGATAGTCAACGATTACTCGATGAATAAATATGTACTGGTCCTGCAACAAGGTGAACGACGTTATAAGCTAAGGCACAGTGAAACATGCAATACGCAAACAATGATTACGAACTGGAAGATTTAAAAATCATTTTAAAATCACTAGGCCAATAACAGAATTTCAAATAAAAAATTTATTTCGATTACAACAAAAGCACAAAAATTATGTGTCTTTGAAAAAGAATCTGGTGAGGCATTTGCAAAGGCACAATTTTCCGGGTAGATTGTGGAAAGCTAAATAATTAGTGCTGAGAACGGAATAAACTTATAGTATGAGACATCAAAAGACTTATAGGATGCATAACATTTAAAAATAAAACAACGAAAGGCATGACAAGATAATCAGGTCCAGTAATTTTTAAGGCAGAGGTTGCTAAATGAATGTTTGGGATTCCTTAAAGACTGAGCGCGGCCTCAACACTTTTAAGTTCAAATAGGCCTAAGGAAAGGCTTCCTGAAGTCACTGCTAGAAGTACAAATATTTTGAAATAACAAATCAAGTGCCAACAGGAAAGGTTTTCGACACTGGGGAATTATAAGAAGCATTTTCCGAAGCTTGCTTCTAGGTCTTAAGAGATTTGAAAATTTAAAGTCAAAAAGCCCATGAGAATGTTCTTAAGTTGAAGATAATGCGGGAGGCTTCCTTGAAAGCCATTAAAATGGCCCAGGGGAAAGGTTTATTTGTCTTAAAGACGGGAAAAAAATTGCAAAAGGGAAAAAGTTTTAATGCAGAAATGAAATGAGAAAATGCTGAAATTATGATTATATATTAAATGAGGTTTAAAACTCCACCACTTTCTTAATCCAGCCTCCTTAAGGCTTTCGCTTAAGAAATATGCCAACCATCCTTTCTTAAAACATCTGTTTACTAAATTTTGGACCTGGCCAGGCCCCCTCCGTTTATTTTAACCCCCCTCATTTATTACCGAACTCAGAAAATTGAGTTGAAAAAAAGAATAGGGATGATTTTAATAAAGTTGGGATCACCTCAGTTTGGACCATGTTACAACGCTGAATTCTCATCATGCACAGAGTCAAGTACACATCGATTGTATCTTCATCTTGCAGTCGATCCATTATAATGTCGATGGCGATTAAAGTTCCCGTCCTACCAACTCCAGCACTGGATAAAGCAAACCAACATTAGCATAACGGCCTAGCTTGCCTGACATAAATAAAGTGAAGCATTAGAAAACTACTCCAGTCACGGGCGCAAAAAAATAAAACTGTTTAGAGGGGAGGCGGATCCTTAGTTTCTTCGACAAGGCCAAACTGCTTCCAGTGAAATCTCGAGGTTTTGCAAATACAGAGAAAATTTCTTGGACAGGAACGGAGTACACAAACGCATGAAATTGTTTATCGTTATCTTCGAAGTTTAGACATTGAAGTAAGCGATAAAAATCTAAATATTTTTGCCTTTGCCGAGGCAAAATTTCAAAACAGAAGATCTGTAGGAATTTGCTACTTCTAGTGAGCGGTCAATGCAAACTGCATTGTGCATCTATCAACGCCTAAGGTATCATCAAAATCTTAAGTAATACCAACCTGCAGTGTACCACCAAGGGACCTTGTCTGGGTAAAATATGCGAACGAACAGTGTGTATAAAATCAAGGACCGTTGATGCATTTTTTGGTACACCATGGTCAGGCCAGGCCACGTATTGGAAATGTTTTATATTACGACTGCCTTCGTCCTAAGGGAAAAAATTATTTCTCTTATCAATTGAAAAAAAAACAGATGAAAACTCAAATTGTTTTAGAATAGTTTTTTTGAAAAAAATTCAAAGCGATAAATAATTCGGTACAAAGAGATGAAAATTACCGACACAAATACATGCCATTACCGATACAGTACAAGTTCAACTAAGGCCATTCTCCAGTTTTTCCTTTAGAATATTTCTAACATTTAGTTTGCAATGCTTGTTACCTAAAACGTTTTATGATTACAGTTTACCGGTCTGTCATGAAGTGTTCATTGCCGTAAAGGCAGGACTGTACACGCTATTTGGTGTATAGAACAGGGCGGTTGTAAGTCACTACTCCGAGTTTTCTCTTAATGCACGACATAGTGGCAAATGATGTGTACCAATATATTCCATATTCCACTACCCAATCTTTTATCCACTTTTTTCTGGCTGTAATTAAAGCTGGGAGTTTTAAAACAAACTAAATTGATGTTTACACATTTAATGAACAACCCCCTCAATCAACTTGGGAAATCTGGATGTGCCACATGTTTCTCGGTCAAAGCCGCTGCCAAATGGGTACGACTTGAACGTGTTCGCAGTTTTAAAAGCTCGATAGCGGAGATAAAAGAGGAAGTGGTACCTTTAATATGACTTGGGATACATTTGATAGGAAATTACAAAATACCAATAACTAACCAAGTAGCTTTAAATAAATAATAATTCATAAATAAGAAAAGGCCATTCATTATTTTGCTATTCACCATTCATTTAATGGTTGTTTGCTTGAGGATGTTAGAAAATATCAACCGAAATACTTTTTGGTTGCGCTTATCAAAGGAAATGAAGCACTTTCAGATTTTGCTATCGAAACCATGAATCGAGCTGTTTTAACTTGTTTATTCAATTATTTAGTGAAATAAAGCAGCATTTATCTATTTTGATTGAATACAGCCGTATGTAAGCTGAATGCTTAATTCCATTAAACTTACTTGTTTTCAAACAAATGATAAAGTTGGAATTTTCCATGACGTAAAAGTGAAAAATGTTTAAATAACAGAAGAAAAAATCTTTCACAAAACTGTTCATGATTTTTTTGAATGAGAGATACAAACACGGAATTATTAAGCACAATCAAATAGAAGTTGATGTCATTTTACAAACATGATCTAGCCATTGAAGAAAATAATTTTATTCACCACAATCAAAACTTTTGCTATAAGCACGCCTCAAATTCGAGTGATAGAAACGTCTTCTTTTAAACTATGAAACATGTACAACACTTTCAATTTGGAATCAAAACCTTTACAACAGTCCTGCAAACAGTAATCTTAATTTCTTTTTCAATTAAAAACCTTTTAATACAGCACACGCTACAAACAGTTATTGGTTTGCTGACATGCTTTCTGTAGTCATTATAATTATCAGCTTACCTCAACCTCCAGCAGAAATTCTCGTTCAATCCAGTCTGGATAGGCCACTTCGGATAGCAGTGAGACAACGATGTCACCATATGCGGTAGGTTGTGTACCTGGCCAGTACTGATGACACTTTACCTAAAAAAAGCGACAATATAAGTTTTGGCACACAATCATCACATTTGATTATAGCTCCACTCTAGTCAGGTGAATCATCCAAGGTTGAATACGTGTATCCCAGTCTTCAAACGTTTTCCTTAGCGGAATATCAGGCAGTAAGTTCCAGGCCTCAGCGACTTTTCATTGTCTTAAACAATATTGTTCTGAAGTTCTGAAACAGTTCTGTAAACAGTTTGAAACAAAATTTTATCCATCCAAACACCACCCCTCTCTAAGATAAAGCTGCCTTAGTAACCCCCACCTCCATGCTAAAGTCCCATATATAAGGCCATGGGTACCATTTCTCAGGTATAGATGGTCCAAATACCCTGTACCCTGCAACGCAAGATGTATATAGCAAGAACTATATGGCTTAATCTATGCTCAGTCGAGCCCTGGTTTAACAGATGTCACGTTTTCTGTCAATAACTATCTAAAAAATGGCAACAGAAAACCAAAAGCGTTTGACTGCAGAGCTGCAAGATTCTTGCCAAAATTTATAGGCTTGCGCCTTATCCACCCAACAGCAAATGGGTACCCCATGGCTATACAGAGAAGGCCAAGGCAGGGAGGAAACGAAATGTTCCCTGGATGAATGCTCTTTTTAATGCACTTATCTTATGAACAAATCATCTATGGATCCCATGTCACGTCACCTTTACAATTGGCCATGCAAAGCTCTTGTGGGTGGCCGCTGACGATGTTCACACTTGACATTCACACTCAAAGGGACTAGCCTTTCACCCTTCATTAAGTGTTGTTGCCAACTTGTGAAGTCATAATCATCATAACACAGGATTAACACTGAAGCAGTGTATCATACGCGGAATAAGAGGAGGATACGGGTAATGTCTACTCCAATCACGATCACTGTTTTGTATCCTTGTATCCTCTTCATCAATACGTATTTTCCTACTTGTATCGCAGTCTTATAAAATTAGACCCAAATACGTGTAACTCTTCAATTAAGCTCCGTTAAGAGTCACAGTTTTTCAAGAAGCATTTTGTGTGACTATAAACGGAGTCTACTGTATTTGGAAAACAAAAGACTTAGGACGTGTAGTTGGGCCCAGAAAGTAACAGAGAACATGGGTCTTCTTTGAACAGCTGTTAGACGGTTTGTGTCTAGGTAGACAGATGGAAGTTTCTTCTTCAGAAACCCCGTGTTTGCTGTCCCTAAAGGGAGGTATTTTTCCTAGAACGAACTTTTCCTAAGAACCATTTGGAATTTTTCTTCATGTCTTAACTCGATTGAAAATTTAAATCAATAACGTGGTTCCACTTTAACTCAAAAAGCCTTAAGGTCACTTCCTGCTCTGCGTATTGACTTTGTGGTTGAATTGAACAGCTGTTGAAAAAAGTTACCAAAATCCTCAAATATAAACTATTCATTCTGCCTAACTTTTTTCAAACATTCGCGTTACAAATAGTTTGAGTACAAACCCGATTTCTTTCCATGCACTGTGTTGCCATGACAATATTGAATGTATTCTGTTCCCATATCATGCGCCAGAAATCATCAGTTGTTCCTGGAAGGGGGCCTTGTGTTGCGATGTACGCTCTTGGGTGCTTGTATCCCTGTGATACAAATATACACGTCATAAGTTTGCGAGGCTTTATTTAGCGCTATATATATATATGCTTTTTTATAAGGAACCTACCTCAAGGCCTAGTTCCAAAATTTCTTTATTCGTAGACCTCAAATTATCAAATTGTATTACCAAAAATTCCTTAAAAGTTCCTCAATTTTCACTACACATCAAGTGCCATAAAAAATAATACAGAATAAGCACCAAAAAAATTTTGAATTTTGCCTTTACTTGTGGCGAGAACTCAGGAGCAAAAACACAAAGAAGGCTATGTATAGTGAAAATCTTACTTACGGTATTTTGACTACAATGAGCCTTAAAACTTAATAGAGAGAGGGGCGAAACAGCATATGCGAAAACTACTCAATGAAGCACTTGACACACAAATAGCAAACAATCTATGCGAGTATTGGCTGCAAATAAATGGAACCGGCTTTTTAGTTCATGATGCTTGCAGTTAAAAAAATTTTTCAAATTGAAAAGTTCATTAGGGATTTCGTTTTTAGTGGGGTAAGTTCTTTAAATATTTCAGCCTTCTACATGTAGGTTCCTTACAAAGTGGTTCCATATAAAAAAAGCGTGTTCACTATAAACGAAGCTATATACACACATTCATTGGCATGGACAATAATGAAAATAAGTACAGAACAAAACTGACTTTCAATCTGTTTAGTGAAGTAAGTATAATCATTGTTTTTTCTTACTTTGAAATTCATTGCACAAATAAGTAGCAACTGCTCAATCAAGTCTGAAAACCGAATCGCTAAAGTTTGAAAACTTATTTTTACTTACTAAACATATTTGAAAAACAGCAAGATGACAAGAAATTATCTTAAACCATTTGTGGTCCACGAGAAGAGAAATTTATCAGCGAGATTAAAAAAGATAAAAGTGGAAATTTTTAGGAGCTTAAGTGGTTTTGTGACATCTTCATATTGAATTCTGTTGGTCAGAAAACTCTCCCTTATGATTCAACGATAAACCTTTTCATTAAGCAACAGATGAATGTTGTCAGTCTTTATTTCCCTTGCAATTAAGGCCTACTTTTCGAAGAATCAATTTTAACCAAAAGTCATCGAAAAGCTAAAAAATAATTGATGAAAAAATTATACACGGGGGTAGAGATGACGTAAAAAGTACCTACATGGACGTAACTAGCATTTATATAGTCAGAGCCAATTTCGTCATCTGTGTAAGATAGTTTTACGCGAGTTTTGTCATCTAAAAGAACAAATCGACAATTCTTAAAAGGGTCAAGCTAAGTAGGGAGGCTGGAACTAGAAAGGAGGCTGGAACTAGAAAGGAGACTGGAACTAGAAAGAAGGGTCTCTGTGAAAAGAAGACACAATAGAAAGGAGAAAAAATTGGTTCGGTCAAAATAGTTTATCGCAAAACATTAACAATGAGACTAAAACCAAATTAAAGCTATTCATTGTTTTTGTTTAAAACACAAAATATTTTACCTCATTTCTAAAAAAAGATAATTATATTCACGCAATAAAACAATGGCCCAATCAAAGACAGATGAATGAAGCAGCACCCCGTGGCATTTCCTGAAAGCCATCTAGCGCCATCGGCACAGAGAATTGAAGTTTAGAATTGTCATAACTAACCTGCTCTAGGAAGAACTTAATTACGTCTTAACGAAATCTTATGTGTCTGACTAATTCTACTCACATGCCAAAACGTTGACATATCTGTTTTTGCCTCTATTTTCAGGTATATCAGAAGCCTCATGACTTTGATCTCTACCAACGTCACGGATAGACTACAACGAAAATAGAAAGCAATGAAATGCAAATGTAGCTGAAAATTACAACGAACTGAATTTTTTATCTTAAAAGCATTAAACAAATAACCTATAACAGCTTTAAATCTCGCATCATTAACTTTTTATTTTTATACTTTAAGCTTGTCTTCTCTCCATCTTCAGAACAAAAATTCACCTTCTCCAGCCACTGACCCTTTTCTCAAACATAATCAAGGGGTACTATCCCAGTAGACCGAACTTCTTTTGAAAGGCTAAAAGCTCACCAGATTAATGATTTGATGTTTTTCTTTGGGATAGTTGTACACTTGTCCCTTTTTCTATTGATTAAGTGTTATTTCTACCGATTGTCATTTCCAAGTCAAAGTCAAGATATAGTCAGTCAGAAGCCTGAAAATAATATAAAATGAGCTCCCGCCGGCACCAAACTTCTCCGCAGAAAGCAAAAATTTACTTGTATAGCAAAAATAATGGCATAATGTAACAACTTTACAGACAAGAGTCACTCTATCCCTGGTGTGACTGAAGCAAATCCAATATTCGATCATTTCATGGGAATTTGAAGTTACTTCAATCGAACCCATTAAAAAACATAGATCTTAAAGTGCCTTCTTCTCTTTTAAACTCCTTTTAAGTCTGAGCTGCAATCCAAGTACTCACGTTAAAGGGGCCGCCTCTTTTTGAAGTGACGGAAGGATCATCGCAGATGAGGTTGAAGCCAAGCCTCATCCCTGGTAGAAAACCGCTTACCAGGCAAAGACAGATTGCGGAATGGTTTAGCCTCAAAGATCCCTGGGAGAATTGGTTATCATCTTGCGTAAGGCCCCAAGGAATTCAACAGAAATTGTAAACCAATGATAAATGTTTTTAAAAAAGACAGCGGCAGTATTTTTCAGGGCCAAGGGGTGTGCTAGAAAAGACCACGCCGGAGCCCGTCGTTCAGGTCCGCGGATTACGAAGTCTGGGACCTAGATCCTTTGAAACGTCAGGAGTCAGGAACAAATCGCCAGCAAGCACTTCAAAATTGTTTACATAGCAACAAAGCAGGACTTGAGTCTGACTGTCATAGATCTGGAGGAATCATCTAAATAACTCTCCTTTCTTTCGCCTGTGGTCAGTTGTAGAGTCATAAACAATATAGAAGTTAGGTTGTTGCTGACTTGAGCCGTCATTTGTTATGATAAAGTTAGATTCAATGTTCAGTAAGATGCAGTTAACCATTATTCCAGAACAAAAATTATAAGAAACAGAAACTTCAGAATTCTACAGAGTTGAAAAAATACAGATTGACGTTTTAACAAACCTCGAATTCTTCTGCAAAGCGGAAATCGCTATCTGCTTGGCTCCGATTCACCCATGAAATAAAGTCCTTGAGATGCACTGGCCTAAAAAAGGTTGTACTGATACTATGAATCTAGACACCTTAGGTCCTAGAATTAGCCCGGGGGGGGGGGGAGCTTATTTAACAGCAGCTAAAAATAAAACCAGGGTAAATTTTCGGTATGCTCAAAAATGCAGATATATTGGAATGAACCTATCGCTGTCGAGGCAGTACCTCAGCCTATGAGAGTTTATTCGATGATGAGGCTTATTTCACAAGAATAACATCAAGGTGGGGGCTCCTTTGAAGCTGGGGGCTTATTCAAGGATTTACGCTAACAGAATGCCAGGAATCGCTAAAGCAAGAAGTGTAAAAATTTCTAAACACTTTAAATAGATTTATAAGAACTGAATACCAGAGGTAAGACAAAATTAGTATTGAGTAACTTCATGGCTAGCAGTGGGTAGAAGTTGAGTACTTGAAAGAATAATGATGGTAGGGACTTTTTGTGCTCCCTTTATAGTCTTGTTTATTTCCCTTAAAAATTAAAGTTTATTTCTAATATTATAGGAGCCTTTTGGGAGCCTTGTGGGAGCATATACAATAAGCTTTACAGTAAGTAAGCTTTTGAAGTACCGTACCTTGACATGCCTTTTGTAAGATGCTTCAACATAACACTTGAATCTGCACCACCTAGCGTTCCTCTTCCATAACAACTCTTGGAACACGATGATGTTCGCTTTAATGACGTCAGCAAAGTACATTCAGAAACTTCAGTTTCGCCGTACGGATCGGACTGGTTACTGAAAAAGAGGTAAATATAAACTGAAGCGAGGTAAAATCGACATCATCATAGAACTACAGATGTCTCAACAAACACGATTGCTTGCAGCAAATATATGGACGAAATAGCAGTTTACTCTGCAAAGCGAGGTTTACTTAAAATTTAAACCCACAAAAAGACGAGGCCTTTCTTGTAGCATTATTTGGGAAAGTCTAACCATTGGGCTTTGGTCAAGTGAAAACCTGAGGAAAAGCAAGCACTGCTAGGACATCAGGAAAAAGAAAATGGCACTGAGAGGTGTGATAAACGTAGCTAATAAATAAGCTGAACCATATGTGAGGCGTGGTTTCACTGCATAAACTCACAGCCCTGGATGGGGATTCATCCAAGGTTTAAGAACCTATTCCTTATAAAACTGTGTTGTGAGTAAGAATAAACACCCTAGGAAAGAGATACACAAAGAATACTGAAGGTGTTGTGGACGTACTTGTTTTTTCGTCGATAAAGAACGATGGCGATTACAATAATGAGGACAAGCAAAATGGCGAGAACGGCAATCACAGCGATTGTTATGCTGCTTTGATTTAGGCCCGTCGATTGGTCGTCTGCAGCAGTGGTCTCTGAAAACAAAAAACGTTAGTATTACTTGATACTCTCTCGAACAGAATATAATAACACTTTCACTTTGCATACCGAAAAGCAGGAAGAAATTTGTACCTCATAGATGGAACATCATTTTCAAAGAGAGTTTTAAATGAAGCATTAGAGGCACTGACTCCTTCAGCAATGGTGATATTTCTTTGTTTTCAGCAATGGCTTGTATCTCTTTTTGATAATAACAAAGACCTGACACCTTAGCTATTGTGCTATAAAAGAAGCGATGCTCCTAAAGAAATAGCATGCAAAGACCAAAATACCCAAGAATATATCGGGGTGTCTGTAAGCTTTCTCAAAGGGCTTTGATATTGTGCGTGCGGGGCTAGATTAACTTTACTGATAAAATTTCTTTAAACCACGTGCTTATGGTTATAAAATAAGGGCAAGGGATGGTGTGAACACACAAATTTGGGCAATTAGAGTGGTACATTAAAATGTATGATACTAAAAAATCTAACTCACTTATAGCAGCTGTTGTATAAACTTTAGAGAAGGCAGATTTTCGTATAGATCCATGAACATGGTACTGCAGCTGGAACCTAAAATAATGAAAAGTATATTTACAAACTTCATTAAATGCGATAAATACTCAACACATTTCTATTCAAGATTTCATTAACAGATGCTCTTCTGTACTATCACGATTGACGATTTTTCTTTAACTCCATCGAAGACAGCAATATTTCCTGTTTCCTACTAGTTCAAATAAGGTTCCTACAAAAATCTATCTTAGCAAATTCCATTCTATCGGCAACACGTTTTTATAGTAATACCTTATATCAAAATCCTCCCAATCTTTACAATTCAGAACTGCACTTCTTGTTTCATGAACCAGAACAAAGAACCTGAATCTGGCCTGAATTTAGGCCCTAAAAATTCGTCGAAATAGTTCAATTTTGCCGTTTATGTTAGCTAGATATTGAGTAATATAAACAATAACATTTAGAGATAACAGCGGACCTGTTTATTTCTTTAAAGAGGACAAACATCTATGGACTCAAAACAGTAAAATACTTTGGCTCAAAATTGTAGAATACCCTGTCGCTACTCGACTCTTGTTCTGATTTATGAGGTTAATCTGGTTCATGCTTTTTCATGCTTTTTTTTCTCATGAGTATATATATTTTTCTTCTCCTTTTATAGGGGGGGGGGGGCTCTCTCTCGATTAAATAACCTTTTTTGAGAGCTCCTCCTTAGCCAACCAATGTTTATTCTATAGTAAAACTCTGTAGTGTTTTAATGTGATGTAGGGTAGTGTAATTATGTACAGTAACTTTCATCTGTACTTGGCATTTTATTTGCCATGTATTTGGCATTGGTTGATGAAATTGAATTGAATTGAACTGAATTGCGGAATATATCTCAATGAACAATTCCAATACAAAAAAACGATCTTGAAATAATGGTAGTATTCGATATATTCGCCGAGAGGTAAAAATGTCGTTGTCAAAAGGTATAAACAAAAGAGTTACTGAATCAAACGAATACTGTTTTCAGTGGATTTGTGAAGCAATGTAGACGATTGGGAAGACCGCAATGTTCGGTTTTCTGTTTAATCTAATGTAAAACGGATGGGTGGGGTGGACGGCGGCTAAGAACAAAATTAAACTGTTTCTAACTAGGAATATTTTCAAACAGAAACATTTGTTAGAAAGCTTCCATTATGATATTTTAAGACCATCTCCTTTCGAAAATCAGCAACATTACAAAAAAGGCAATTGGCAGCAACAGAATTCTGCACCCGTTCAAAATAAGTCACATCACCATGTCTCAGTTTTATGGGTTGCCCCTTTGTTACGAAGGAGGATATTTATTAATAAGGGCATACTAGAGGTGTGTAGTGAAAACTGATTTTTTTCTATGTACAAGCCGTGCCAAAAAAATTCGAACACCAAAGTCAGTTTCAAAGGCAAATTCACACACCCCCCTCCCCCCTCCCCAGCAACAATTTTGATTTACAGATTATGGAGTATGTCTTTCTTGGGACTTGTATGATAATTTTCTAGACTACCAACATTGTCTGGGGGGGGGGGGCTGTGTAAATTGCCGGGTGTTTCAAGTAAAGTTGGCCAGCATTGTAGTTGACTTCGGGATGACAGCATTTTTCTCTCTTAGATTATGCTTTGTCTTCAGTTCCTATTTTTAGCACGATCGACTGCCATCTGGTGCTTGCTGCCACAATTTCTCCAAAAATGATTGTAATTTTGAGCATTAGAATGGAACAATGTCTGGAAACCGATGTTAGCTTTACTAAAATACTTTCAAACCAAAAAAAATTACTTTGCCGCCTGGTTAAATGAAATATATGTCTGCTTTTCTGAAATTATGGAATCAAATACGGTATGGTGTGTCTGGGAAATGAATAAGTTGTTTTATCATCATTGAATCGACTAAGACTATCTGCAACTGAACTTCAAGCAACCCTCTGGCCGTTTTCACAACTCTATGCTCTCGAATTGAAGTTTGTGATAAATTCCCTCTTAAAGTTGTGTGTGCTTTGTGAGTTAAAAGATTAGACAAAACAATTTGCAGAAATAAAACACGACACAGGTTGAGGTTATTGCTTTTGCCATAGACGGATGAAACAGAAAATATCCGAGCATATTTCTCTTTCGAAAGGTTGAAGAAAAAAACCCCAGGCCTACAAAACATGTAATTTTTATCTTCTGCAGTAGTTAAAACTCTGATCACATCAAAATTAAACTTTGGAACACTTTTCAACACGATTACCACAATAAAAATACAACAAAAATGTGGATCAATATGAATAAAACCATGGTATCAGAAGATTGAAAGGAAGAAATTTTATCAAGAGTTCTCAAGAAAATATATATATATATATATATAGAATACAGCAAAGAGGAAACATACAAAAAAAAATAAGTGAAGACAAAGGGGTGTCACACTTCAAGCAAACAATCATTACCTTGTTTGTTGGTTTGGGGTAAGTTGGGGGCAAAAGAACCTCAATGATCATTATCTTCAATAGAAAGCAAATATCAAAATTGTTGTCAGAGGTTTCTACTTTTTTGCTTCTTGGAAAAAACAAAAAAAGAAGTTCAGAGAACTCATTTGTTCCCGGATAATATGCTTCTCCTAAGAAAGAATTTTACTTTAAACTGACTTGGTGCTTCTAGCTTTAGCGCATCTAGGAAAGATTTTAACAGGGCCCGCACTTCTGGGGGGCCGGGGTGGCCATGGCCCCCACATGTTTGCAAAGCAAGTAGTTTTGAAACTGCAATAAAAGGGGTAAGAAGCCTTTAGAATTCGTGGCGCGGGCCCTGATTAAGCTTTCACGTCATTAAACAATTTCTATGTAACTACGAGACGAGATTGAAGTTGTCTATTTCTAACTAATAGAGAGACTCTGCATAGTTAAAACATCTTCAGGGGGAAACAATAACAAAACGAGAATGTTAAGTTAAAGTTGATACATAACGATAAACAACGGAAAAATTGTTTGGAAGAAGAAATAATTATTTTTAGAACAAATAAAATACGCTGTCATAAAATCAAAAGCGTATTTAGAAATCTTCTCTTCTAAGCTCTGCATCTTAAGTCGTGAAGAATTGTTTGCTTGCTAATACAAACAGCTTATTCAAATTAGGCCCAATGAAAGTAAAAAAAGAATAAGTAGGTAATGAAAGTAAAAAGTAGGTATATAAATAAACGTGTATAAAAACAAGAATATAAAAAACTCAGAACATACGCGAATATTTGAATGAAAATGCAATGCCTCATTGCCAATTGCCTTGCGATACCTCACTGTATGGTATACTACGATACAAGTACTCAGCAATACAACCATATGGAACAGATCAAGTTATGCAGGATGATGTCAACTAACAGTTCGTCGTTGAGGCCTATGGCAACTTCCGATTTCTAGTTCAACTTTCGTTTCCTTACTTAACCGTTTCCTTGAAAACAGTTAAAATACCTGATAAGAGCCAAGGACCTACAATGTGTCATATCACTAGAGTGCAAATAATCTTGATTTCATCCACTTGAAACTAAAACCGTAGACAAAAAGAGAATTAATACCACTTTTCTTAATGAAAACCCCTTTGATCAAAGCTTGACTGGAAGCCCTCGTTACTTTATTCATTTCATATGAATTCCTCAGTCGTTCTTTATTTTGAGGCACTCGACTAAAAAAGCGCACACAGATATCAAGAGAATACGTTCTAAGAAGACCGGATGAGGTCAGTTGCTCAGATTCGAAAACGGATTTGTGCGAAAAATTGGTTTTTATTGAAAAGAAGCCACGTATTGCTTGCACGAGTTTATGGAAGTTATCATTGATACAATACCGTACAGTAAGGCACGGCTTTTTAAAGCAAGGGATACAAATAAAATTGAGGCGAAGAAATGACATTGAGAACTTTTTTGGCAATTTTGTAGAGACAACGTGAATGCTGTGAATCTTCGATGAAGAGCCGGGGCGCTTAATTACCTTTAACCGGGCGTTTATTCGAGAAGCCCCTTAACAACTGAAATCTGAAAAGAACAAGGGTTGTGAACCTCAAAGGGGTTAAAAAAGAATACATGGTGAAAAGATTTGCTTTTTTAATCTTCTTTATTTTCAACTATACACTTTACTTTTACTCAAGACTCAACTTTTCATGTCTTTGAATTGAAGGGGCGCTAGTTTCAATTATTTCTTTTACGCCGGGCGTTTAATCGTAGATTCACAGTGAATTATGATCACAGTGATGATGTTTATATGACTGAATCGGATGCTTGTATCGACTGGAATGCTTGAATGATTTGACTGGTAATACAATGCTTGTTTCTGATGATGCTGCCAAATGTTTCTGCTTTTAAATGTGATGATTGTTAGTGGTTAGGATGATGATGATGATGATGATTCTTCATAATGGTTGAGAATGATTGATGATCGTTGATTAAGATTCATGATGGTTGATTATGATCGTGAAGTAACAAATTGAAACACATACCCCTTCATAGCAAACATCAAACCATGAACCTCGTTACGTTACAGAATTTGGTGTGAAAAACTTTGGCAGCTTCAAAAAATCCTTACCAAGTTTGTGTCAAAATCAGGCACGATCCGCATAGACATTAAAATTTGTTTGACTAGACATTAAAATATTTGCTTGAGGATAAAATAGATGGCTTTTTCAGATAAGTCACTTTATGGCAAAAGCGACAGTCAACATAGGACCAATGAACAAATTCAAGCTTCCGATCAAATATAAATTCAAACATGCTTAAGACAAAAGTGTTCCCATGTAGTCTTCCTCTGTTTAGAAAACTATTCTTTTCTAAAAATGAAATTTTCACAGTCCGCACACTCCAGCACCTGTTTCCATTGCAATTTATTTCAATAACACAAAACGATGGCATAGGCGTGGCATGAGAATGTATTTCTCGCTTTGCATCTATTATTCTTGAAAACCATAATACCTGGCTTCAACTGATAGACCCATTACCAAATCAGACAAAACAGCCCTTTAAAGGCCAAGTTTTGCTTAACTCTTAGTGATCCTTTATTTGAGTCGACCGAGGGGCGATTCACTCTTGCAAATAGCGTACGAGATTTTCCTAAAACAAAAGGATTTTTGTGGACTTTCAGATAAAACAATGGGATTTTCACAAAAGGTGTACGAGATTTTCTTAGAGTGATTTGCCCCTCGGAGTAGACGAGCTTCCTGTAACGATTGATATTGTAAAATTTCTACTACCCCTCTCTTCATCATTACAATCTCAAATCTTTGACAGTACCAAGCCCCCGTAAACCCTCCCCTTCAAGGCTTGTTATTTCCAATCAATCTATCCGTTACCTTCCTTTTCAACAATCTCTTGACTCCAAAATCTCTCCGTCACTTTGACTTTTCCAGTCCGTCATATATTTTCTTCCCTTTCCCCTTCACTTAAACGATTTTTTAACCCCTGCCACAACTCTATCATTTCTCATTTCTGTCTCTTTTCAAGCTCTTGAGGGAAATCACGAATTGAAATCCTTGGATTTGAAAAATTGTTTAATCTTGATCAATTTTTCAAGGTATATTATGTGTTGACTTTGAAGGTATATTATGTGGTCAAATTATTTCTGATTGTATTCAATGTATTTAAAGGCAATCTGTCACGACGTTGATTGATTATAAGAACAAAGGGATTTTTTATTGTTTCCAGTCCCCCTTTAATTTATTGCATTGTAAAAAATATGGCGGGGCGCTGGAATCATGTTTAGGCAATTGTTCCAGCTATTGTTCTCGTTAACCAATCCACAACGAGACAGATTGCCTTTAACCTCAGCCCGCCCTTAAACACCGAGGTAACAGGTGTATGCAATCGTGTGCAGGAAGGAAGAAACTCGGACAAGGCGGGGTTGTATGCGGTGCAAACTAATTAGCCTTCAACCACAGTAGAAAGCCACATTAAATAATTTAGATCCAAAACACACAGTAGCTCACGAAAGAGATGGCTGGATTGCTTGTTTCGCACAGATGTTACCCAAACCATTGGTAATAAGATTATGGCTAGGCCAATTTGTAGAAATTTCTAGCAGGCTAGTAGGGTAAATCCGAGTTTAAATCCGAATTTTGTAGCATGTGATTACAAAAATTTTCTTTCTCGTTGAATTAGCAACATTGAGGCCTCTACTCCCAGATGTCATTAAAAGTCGATCAATTCATGAAAACTATTGGAATTCACAACCCCCACCCCTCCAGTTCCTTTTTAGGGACAGTAAAGCACAATTAAAATTGTATAACGAGGACTGAGAGTAAACGTAATTATTTGAATTGCTCTCCAATCTGTGCCACACACTGACGTTCATGATTGGATTAGCAAGTGGGGTCGATTTTAACCACTACATCCCCTAAACCCCCAACAGATACACCCCTGTCTGCAATGGGTAACAGAATAAGTATAAAAAAGTCTCACCTGTATGAGCCTTTCTCTAGAGGGCCGTTACAATGCTCATAGCGAATCTGTTCCTTCTCACAGCGAATTTCCTGGCCAAATGTAAAATTGAATTTCGACCGATGCACCAGGCTTTTCTTCCTGTATTCGCCGGCAACGTAAGAGTCGTATTTATAATCTTCGAAATAGCGAACTTCATACCATGTTCGTAATGTATCAGCGCCACCTTTTTAGGGAAATAAATACATCATTACCAGTTATGTCATTACCATTTATGTCAGTACCATCTATGTCATAACTAGTTTTGCCTTTAACAGTTACATCACTGCCAGTTACAAGGAAAACACTGGACTAACGACCCCTTTGTTAGGTAAAAAAGGCTGCAGGCACAAAGGTAAATGGAAAAACTAAAACCACAATTTTCATAATTGAGGGAAAAGACAGAGTTAATTCTTTCAAGGCTTTTTTCATTACTCCAAAAACCTCTAGGAAAACTCAGGGCCAGCAGTGAATTCTTAGAAAGCTTCCGGGGGGCCATTTTTTTCAAATCGGTCAACAATACCTTGAATTAAACTTCAGCAATTGAGATTATTTCATTGGAATAAAAATGGATGAAATAGGAAACTTGTTATTGAATACGTGTTATTCTTCATATCCTTCTTTCCCTCTATCAATCTTACACGTTAAGAATAACATAGGACTATTCAAAGATAAAGTTATAAGCAACGAAAAAAATGCAAAGTTAAGCAAATGGCATTATAACGAGATGTTTTTCAATCAAACATGGGTTCAGATTTGGTATATTTTTGGTCAATATAATATTTTCCCGCTTATATTAAAATTTTCTCAGGGTTTGAGAATTTAAAGTTTTTACACAAGTTTAAAGTTTCTCCGGATAATGCCCTTGAACTTTGAAAAACCTACTTTGAAAAACAATGAAAAAATCAGGTCATGGTTTAGGTAAATTACATTTAAGCATTTTTACAGTAAGATTTCTTAGGGTTTTTGACCACATGCGGTTTAGGCTCTGAAATTATCATAAGAGTGAGCTACACAGGGCCTAAAGAAGGTGTAGCTTGGAGATAAAAAGGTATAACATAAAACTCACCAAAAATGAGGTGACCATGTCTCTGAGCAACGATCTGCAATTTGTATGCTTCCTGAATCCCAGGGAAGACAACATGAAACTCAATGTTAACGGCAGTGGGATACGAATCTAATTTCTTAGTGTGAATCTCTGGCACCCCTATAAAGACTGGTTTTGACGTAGTCATCTTATCAGTGACTGGCTCACCCTCAGTTGTTGGTGGCCATGTTGTTTTTGTCTTCGATGTTGTCCTTGGAGTTAATGTGGAAGCTGTTATAATTGTTGTTGCTGTTGAGGTTGTTGCTGTTGTGAGTGCCGTCGAAATCCTTGACGTAGTGTCCATTGTTACCGTGCTTTGTCTTTTTGCAAATGATGATGTAGCCGCATGGATAACAGTGGATCTTTTCGTCGTTTTGGATGACGGCTTTGAACTATGTTGGCTTGAACTACCGAGGTTAACAGTTGAAGCAGACCGTGCAATATTGGCAGTGAATCGCACACTCTTAATCGTTTGGGACTTGCTTGTATTAACTGGCATAATACTAGCATGGGTGGATATCGTAGTCTCTCCAATCACCTTAGACAGACTTGATTTTCTACTAGTTGAAGTCATCTGAGTGACAGCCGAATGACGAGCTGTGTCTATAAGCTGACTGCTATATGAGGAAGTTGCCATAGGAAAATAGCTCGTTGTCACAAACGATAATGTAGGTGTCACATTCCGTGGAAAAAACGAGGTTTTCGAAGGCGAATATACGACAGCTGACGTTACGCTATTTACGATTGCTTTTGTAGATCGATTTACGCTGAAAAGTGTGGATGAAATTGGCGAACTTGCAGCCACCAATGATGCTCTTGGTTGACCGATTGATGTTGTTAAAGGATTGGGCAATACAAAAGTTGAGGTATGTGATGCATTCAGGGTATATTTTTCAGTACTCGTCGCTGAGCTCGTTTGCAAGACTTTTGGGACATGGTTGGAAATTATTTTCGAATAATTTCCTGAAAATTTTGAGTATGTGCTCCTGACGTCAGAGGCTTTACTTATACTGGCTGTCAAGCCTGTTCGAAAGAAAGAAGATTGAATGGCCTGGAGCTGAGTCGAAACGTTGCTCAAGGAAGGAGTTGAATTCAAAGATTCAGCGTTTGGTGATGAAGGTAATAGCTCGTATGATGCTGGTGGAAGCACCGAAGAAGGAGCATTGTCTGGTGTCAATGAACCAGTGATTGCTTCCACGAACATTCTGCTTGTCTTGGATGTATTTACAATTGCTGATGGAGGGGATGAAGCTATGGACCAACTAGTTGTTGAAAGAGTCAGTGAGGTGGACCAACTTTCCAGAGCAAAAGAATTACTGTCCGGATAGAAAGTCTGATACGAGATCGTTCTGACCGGATTTATTCTTGAAGTCATGACAGGGTTGGCAATACTCTGTCCAGATGTTCTTGAAGTCATGACGGAGCTTGCAATATTTTTAATCAATGGTGTGTAAGTTGAAGAGATATTACGAGGTTGTTGGATGGTTGATGATCTGTTATTCAGGTTATGATACATTGCAGAAGAACCAGTAGAGTCCGTGGTGCTACCATTTGCCTTTGTATCAATGTCCCAAACTCTACTGGACAGCTTCACCTCATTTGTACTAGAGTGGCTTTTTTCAGCCTTTGATCGCGTTTGTAAAGACAATATTTCTATTGATGACTTTGACAGCCATGTTGTTGAAATATCGCTTAAAGAAGGAGAAAGCGTTTGTGGGCCAGAAACTGTCTTATCTGACTTTTTGATCGCTGTCTCATAGTAAGATTGAGTTGCTTGAACAATATTATAATTCGTCATGGATCCATTTAAACTTCTAGTTAACATCAATTCAGCACGGGAGTCAAATGACTGTGAGTTCATGCTGGAAGCAAATCGAGGCAATACATTCCATTTTGAATTCGGTTCAACAGAGTTAGCAATGCGACTGCTACTTTCCAGAATGTTCGTTGAAGTTACGTGCAAGTTCTGGCCTACTGGCACCGTCGTAAAAACAAGATTTCGCGATGCAGTTAATGTATTGTGTGGGTGGGATGATTTGATGTGTTGGGGACTGGGTGCAAACGCAGATGCACTAATAGAATAAGTTGGTTTTGATGCAGATAGGCTTGTTTGGAGAGCTCGGATGGGAGTCTTTGTGAAGCTTGCTTCTATAAATTGGTGTGACATTTGCGCCTTTGATAATGCTATGGCGTCAGTTGAGGGTCTTCCATTGTCCCTTCCAGAACTGAAATGACTTGTTGAGGCCACCGTCGATTCTGTGCTTTTTGTAAACAATTTTGTGCTTGTTAGCTGCGATGAATGTGCATTCGTATTTGATGTCTGTCCTTTTGAATTTTTGGTTTTGTCTTCTTCGTTTGTGATGTCCTGGGCTTCAGCCTTCGCGCCTTTGTTGTCAGTTACTTTATTGAGATCTCGATTTTCCTGCAAGATAAGAATACATGAAATGTTATTACAGTTTAGTTTCCTTTGACATAGAAATCTTCTAGATATCACAAGAAGACTGAAATAAGAAGTGCCCAATGACTCTGGGGAAATCAGCTAGACGCAATTTGAGATTTCAATGGAGGAACTTGGTTTCTTTTTAATAAAGGTAAGAGACTTCTTTGATACAAAACTCCCATTTCCTTACGAACATCAATAATTAGAAAACAATTTAGAAACAGGAGATATTATCTTAAAGAGTATTAAACAATACATAGAGAGTATTAAATAAAGATAATACATAAAGAGAATTAAATGGTCTTTCCTCGAGCAATTTATGTCAACATTTGACAAGATTGTATCAGGTAACAAAGCACACAGGCAAAGCCAGGAAATATTGTCCTGAATAATCGTATCTGCAGTTTTTGAAAGACATCGTCCCAAACTTAAAATCACTTGAAAATGCCACTTATAGATATAATGTTTTGGTAAATCATTTTTGTTCAAGTTCTGATATAATTAAGAAAAGAAAATCTTGCGTAGAGTGACACAATCGTATTTTCATAAACAAGCCAAGAATGAGAGCGTATGAAATTGAGTTTGAAAACCATTTTCTATCTAATATTCCAATAAAGCGATTTGCTCTGTATTGGAATGCGTTTGAAATGAGATTTAGTCCTTTCACCATATGCTTTCTTCTTTTAAAAGGATTTGTTTAAATTCAATAACAGATTGAACGAAAGTATTAACAGGAAGAACTGAAAATGAGTTTGAGGGATGGATATCAATTTCAGGCAAGCCACAAATCTGAGGAGACCGTGAAAGAATCAGAAGAGCGAGGTGATGATCGAAACCAAGCCTCAAAAATGAACGGAACACGTTCAAGCGGTCTGGCATGGCATTTTAATCAGGTCAAATCATAGAGGTGAAGAAGACTTTGGACTCGAATCCGAGATAGATTAGTCTTTTGATATAGCCATTATGCTGGAAGTCCCCATAAAGTCATATTGCCGGTTACATACAGTCACATAAAACTTAGGCCCAAATATGTAAAGCCTGATTTTCCATAAAGTTCAATTAATATGTCTTCAAATTAATATGTCTTCAAATTAAAATGTACCTGGTTTCATTTGTCACAAGGCTCCTTCTAACGTCGAAATGCCCCCCCCCCCCATTTGTACAAGGATGTTCCATCACATATCATTGAATGCTGATTTATATAACATTTTATCAATAATTAATTGACAAGACCTTAAGAGGATAAACCCGCCTTCTGGATGTGTGTGGTGAAGATCTGTCACATTTTTGTGCCCATGCAGTTTCCAGGTGCCTGGGGGGGCAAACCCATTATGGCCTAACAGGGGGGTCTAGACAGGGTCAAAGAAGTGCTAAAAATTACCCTCAAATTGTAGTCTTTTTTGACAATAACCCTCAAATGGTAGCAAAAGAATCATACTTGAAATCCCCCCTAATGGTAGCCATTTGGTAAGATCCAAAAATCGACTGGACCCCCTGTCAGACCGTAATGGTAGTACCCCCTGGGCTGGTTACTTCATACTTCCCCTCGAGGAGAGAATAACATTGCCAGTCCATCACTGATAATACAATTACTTTGAGAAAATGATACACCATCTTGACAAAGATTCCTATACTTATGAAATCTTACAACATTTTGAGTTAAAAAACTCTAAGTAAGTAGAACGCATGCTGGAGGGCACTTGATTCTCTACAAACACCCTCTTTGGAAGCAGGGATGATTATATATAATCCTCAAACTCTAAACTCACATTTTCTTCTTCAACAAAAACTCTTCATTACAACATAATGCCCATGTGTAAAACGCCTGGTGAAAACTGTCCCCTACAAGAAATTTCCTGACTGGGAAGTCCCAATTAGAAAAATTAAATGACCTGGGCCTTTACACCTCCTGCAAGCTGATATTTTCCCCTTCAATCTTAGGCACAACATTTCATCCCCTACAAGTCCAAGATAAATTTTTCTGTCCACTGCCACATTTACATGCCACCCCCTGTGGAAAATCCTTGGGGGCTTGTTACACAGAGGTGTAAAAAACAAACTTTAACAAAATCACAAAATTTGCAGACAGTTTTAATACAAGCAAGACATGTTTCATTTGGAACAACAAAAAAGTTTCCAATTCTTGCATATCAGCTGACAATAACCTCATCAAAGAGAGGGCCTATTTAAATTAACCTTGCAAACAACGATTACAGATGATCAATGTTTGTTTTCAAAAGTATGCTTGCCTGGATCCATGTTCTGGATCCCCAATCAGATAAAGGTCTCAAAATTTAAAAGTTTTCATTACATCCCATCCCTTGTAAAACAGGTGATAAGATAACAATGCCCCCTGCTCCCATAAAACATTAAACTGGAGAGATTCAATACAAACTGGAGAGATTTCAGTCCTAAGCCCCATCCCCTTTCTATCTGGACCTATAAAAATTTTGAAATGCTGAGGGGTGGCACTTGGATTCAGAGAGTAGCATATTCTGATAATCAGAAATTCTAGGGCTAATGATTTGTAGAATGCTGCTAGCAAATATTTTCACTTTATTTTAACAAATTTCTAGTATAATATGTTTTGCCATGTCTTACTGATGTCTTGTAGCTCTAACCATTGAATTTCCACTGCTCCTTCTAAATGTTGGAAATGCTAACAGTTTTCTCACACTTTGAGAAATTCTGCCTGTCAATGGGGTTTCTTTTACAAATTTTGAGGGATACCTGCCACCCTGCGATACCTCATAGTATCCACCCTGTGATGCCTCAGAAAAATGCACTGTTACCAGCATTTTGATACTTTGCCTCTTGGAATTCAAGACAATGTATGTTTGCATTCTCAGGCCAGTTACGGAAAATTACAGAAATATATCATTAGGAAGCGAGTAATATCCCATCCAGCATCAATTTCAATGCAATATGATGCTGCATATTTGTCTGTAATATCCAAAACATGCATATTTTACAAATAAAAATCAAATCTTAGAATTTAGGAAAATTATAATGCCTGGATAATAAAGATTGGGGTACCGAGGCAAGGCATGAAATTCTGAAAAATTGCTTCTATTCTCTATCATTCCAAAACAGAAATGGTTGCCATTTGGAAAAAAATTAAAGAAAACAAACCAAAATGGAGATGAAATAAACCATGTCCAAATTCTCTCCATTAAAAAGCATACTGTATAAAAAACTAAAAATTCTAAACATTGCTAGTAAAGTAGGTTTTTCAAAACACAATTAGTGTAAAAACATAATTTTATTTGTAAACTATTCCATTGCGAATTTAGACAATAATCTTTTAAGTTTTATGGCAAAGCAACTTCAATCGGATTAGCCCGAAATGGAGCGATTTAAAATGAATAGACAAAAGAACAAAAGTCATCGCAAAATATCAGAATAATTTGAGATTTTTAAAAAGCGCCAGAGAGAAATTCTGGGGAAAATTAATTCAGCATATTTTAAATACTGAAATTATTCGAGGGTAAATTGGATTCTACAGTGGTACTATAATCATTTGCAAAGTCTGGTGAAGCTTGAATACCACACATGCCTTGCCACTCTTCAAGGGTAAACATTTGAATAAATACTTGTTTGCTTATCCGCTTAAGCCGATAATTGCTTGCTTAGTGCAAATTTAAATAAAATTCGTCCCAGACTACAGTTTGTCTTTATTCGCCTAAATTCGTCGCCTGAATCGAAGTTTCCATTATCTCGTCCTTTTTTTAATCAACAATTACGGGCGTGAAATCATTAATATTTAAATAAAACGAGATAGCAAATTTCAGAATATAGTTATGACAAAATTTGAGATCAAACAATGCGATGAAAATGTAGTCTGCGACTGATATTGATCTTTCAACAGATGTGATAATAGCGTGACCCTTAAGCAATGTTTACAGTTTTAATGCAAATAGCACAATTTATAAAATTTCTCAGCCTCCGAGGCCTAGCCAGGCTAATCATAAAAAGCAAATGCTTATGGTCTAAATCAAATGGTAATCATACCTCCGCTGATGAATAATGAATGAAGCAGTAAATGAACATAACGGCCATAAAATTTTTCCATCTTGCCCTCATGGCTGCAGCGATTTCGTAAAATCGTTTCTGTGGGCAGAGCAAGACCGAGATGAAACTTCGCTCGAGAAAATGTCACTCTGTTGTCTGCATCGTAATTAAAAGATTAGCGTCAAGGTTCCTTCTTGCAGGCAAGCATCCTAGCAGCCATTAATTCGTCAACTCTGAAATATTTTCAAATTCAATAGTGTATAGACATTTTGGTCAAACATCGCAGATTCCTCTTCTTTTCCGATCGGAAGCCGCAATAATCGTGATGTTTCCCAAAGGAACAATGTCTCGCAGGTGATTTTTTAAACAATAGAAAGAAAACAATATATCTTTTGTTTTCTAATTATGATAAACAATACATAATATTTACAACACCGCGGTTTCCCGCAGAAAGTGACATTTCGGGCTAGGTTATAATGGCAACGGATTTCTAACAGTTTTTCTCTATAATTCCACACTTCCAGCCTAAAATTCTTGTGTGATGATGCCCTTGTGCAATTTCCTGTCGTTGGAAACGCGGCGTCACAGAAAATTATTCCATTAAAAAAGGAAGGCTCGAAACCGCTGCACGGACATTGTCCCTAACAATCGACATTTAAACCGACGATAAATGCATCCACAACTTTTCCCACGACTCTGTCTGGACCTAAAAATGATTTGGAACTCGAGTTATGTCCAGAAATTTTTAATTAGAATTTCGCTCGCCGTGAGAAAAAAAATTTTTTATTACCTATTTCTAAAAACTTTGACGCCCTCTAGGATTTTAATTCAATGTTTCCCCTTGTTGGAATTTATGACGTCATATGGGGAGCAGAATTTGATGCCCTCATGTTACTGCATTCGGTATGACCCCTAAAGTAACTTAGACCAAGGTATGGAGGAAAAGAACATTATTTGAGAGAAATGGGAGCAAAAGCGTTTTTTGTTCATTATAATTCTTTAGGGGCACGAGCTCCAAACCCCTCAAGAACAATTGGAGTGATAGCAAGGGCCGCGGAGAATATTGCAGATTGAGGGGGCTAAAGCATTTTTGTTGGGCAAAACATGCTAAAAACCAAGAGCAGGGTGATTTTCATATGATACTAAGTACAATGTGGAAATTATTGCCCCACGCTTCCGCGGTCCCTGAGCGACAGCCTTGGTTTCTGAGACAACTAAGATCTGACAATTTAAGTATAAAGGAACTAGAGTTTACTGATAAAAAAATTTCACTCTTTTGTTAGTATACACAAAACAGCAACAACAACAAATGGTCCAATCATTTCATTGGGCTCCGTGAGTCTGTATACGATTCCATATTGTCTTTATGACTTTGCCTAGCTCAAAGTCTTGTAGCTTTTCAGCTACCCCAACGGATGCAAATAATGAAAATCATTCCTTACGCACATCAATTATCTGATAAAATCTTGGATATAGATTCTTTGAATAGGGGTACGTGCTGAGCGCACAGGGAAAATTAGCAATATTTTTTTTAGAACTGTTTTTGAATTAATTTTTGCGTCCTTGAAGAGCTCTTTCATTTATGTTTAAAAACGTATTAATACTTTGAATGTATTATGCTACAATCTTTTTCACCAGCCTTTAATTATTTAACTTTCATATTAATCTTATTTAACTTATTTATTACTTATTTAGCCAATCTTATTTAACTACATTTACTGTAGAATCAAACGGATATAAATATTCACACAGCAAGTCTGATCTAAATCAGAAGTTTTCTCAATGCCACGCTGATGTTACAGAAAATGTCGCAATTGACGAAGTAAAGAGATTCTTCTTATTTACCCTAGCGCCCCCTCCACTCCAGCCCGTTTCGGGCAGGCTATTTTCTAACGCTGTTTTAACTGTTGATTTTGGTTCTTGGGTCTTTATCTTTGAAAACCCAATTAAAAGCTCTAAATTGACAAAAATGCGGGGGGTGACATGTCCCCAGGCCTCCCTTTTGCGTGAACCCTGAAATGTGATGAGTCTTGGCTCGAGTTTTGGCACTTATACTTATATCAAATTTGGTTACACTTATATTAAAAAACAAATACTGACGTTGTGTCCTCTAGTTTGCTTCTAGAAGTTTCAATACTCGTTTTTTCTTAAGATGTCATTAATTCTAACATTGGGAGTCCTATATCAAGTTTTCAATGCTAGAAAATTTCTCAACAGAAACCGGTTGGGGAAGGTTTTCATTTTTGCAGCTGCGAACAGTTAGACTCGTCAATGTTTCTATTGTGTTCAAAGGTTCGTGACACTGTTGCCAAGAGATTTGCTAACGTTCTAATGTTGAACTCTGAGATAAGTGCGTTTTTATTCTCTGTGTCTAAGGCGTTATGCCAAACCACCAATTATATTGATGGATTTTCATGAAAATTCGTAGATCCGGGCCTGTTCAAAACTCAATTGTTTTACAAAAACCTATTCTTTCCTGCTTCGCGCACTTAAAACTTAATTTATTCATTTTTCCTAATTGTCCACTACTTGTTTCCTGTAGCGAGTTTCTTATAAAGATTGAGTCTAGTGCTTGCAACATGGCTAGAAAAAGAAACCCTCTCAACTGACCATGGTCTGTGGCCTGGCATTCTCGTATTCTAAAAGTTCATTTTCACGTCTTTGTCACTAGACACTGTATGACCAAACAGTGACATGTGAGATCTGTCTGCCTTCAAGCAAAAAAATAATGTCTAGTCTGAGCAGGAAATTGCGAAACATTCAGGGTTTGATAGATCCATTCATTTCGCGAGGTCACTTTTGAAGAACTCATGGCTCAAATGAATATTGTTAACTACGATTATTTTTTTTAATTAAAATTGAAAAATCTCACTAAATTTCAAATTAGTCTGCTAGTCTACAGATGTTGCCCTCCCCCTGGTTGAATGTTTCATTTCCCTCGCATGTTCAACGTTCATCTCAGATTTAGCACTGGCCCGGCTTGTGGTCTGCTCTTTACAAATTGCCTCGTTCTTAAACCGAGGGATACAAACAGATACACTCCTTTTCCCAACAGTCATCTGCATTGTTGCATATCCCTTTGCCACTGATTTGTCCGGCCTAGCATCGTAAATTATGTCTTCGTCCATATCAACTGCAGTTGGATGACTTATTCTGGAAATTCTAGCTTTTGATGACGCTGCTCTATTTGCAGTGTCTACTCTTTTCGTTTCTTTCAACTCTCCCCGTATTTTGCGTGCAAGTTCATTCCATTTTTCAACATCAAATGACGGGCCTATTTTGTTCTTCTCTCTTGCTGTAAACTCTAAACTATCTACACGACTTGGTAGATTCAGCCTAAGATGCTTTGCCTCGCCTCTCGAATTCTCTATAGTTTTAGTTTCTTTGGTAGTACCAGGCTTTGAATAGTTCATGGCATGGCCTAAACTGCTGGTGTTTGTTCCTTTAGGCTTCTCGCTTAAGGAAACATCATTTTGTGTACTTTCAGAACCGGACCTTTGCTTTCTCTCTAATTTTAATCGCAACGACTTTTGCATTAGCTTCTCAAATTCGACATCTACATCTAAAAAGCTTTCTGTTTGTTTCATAACGTTATTTTTTGACGATGACCTAACTGATGCATAACTCACATCTCTGTCTTTTTCATTCTCAAACAAAATGGCATCGCTATCCCTAGATTCAATTTCAACCTCGCAATATTCTCCACCTTGTGTTGTTTTATCACCTTTACCAATTGTCTTTGTAACTAAATTCCCATGTGCACTCTTTTCTTTTTCAGTCTCTGCTCTTTTCTTCCCTTTGCTGCCCGACTTTTTCTTCATCTCTTCTTCTCGCTTTACGCGATCATGAAACTTCTTCTTTTCGAGCAGCTTTCGAACAAGTTTTTCTTCTTCCTCTAAGTCTTTGTAAACATCAATGATCTGTCTCCCTTTCAAGGGTGGCGTTATCACCCTAAATTGGAAGTTTGACTGAGACTTTCCACTCACGGGCCTACTTTGCCTAAATGAACTTGCACGTGACGATCTTCCAGCTGTAGATTCTTTTCCAGTTGTATCTTCATCATCAACGATAGACTCAACTGACAAAGACAAATCGTTAGACCCTCTGCATTTTGTTTTCTTTCTAAGCATGTGAATAGGCAAATGCAATGGGAAATTATCCTCGCTGTATGAAACTGATTTTGGACTCGGAGTAGCAATATCTCTACCTCCAGCTAATTCGGGGATCGAGACACACGAGCTAAACTCAGAACTTGCAGTCTTATCGTCACCATTATTCGATAAAAATACAACTTTATCTGGTTTTTGTAAAACATTATCAACGGCTGTTATGAAGTCCTCCATGTACACATCTCGAACTTGCAGCTTCACTCCATGCTCCATTAGAAATTTTCGACGGACAGGACTTATTTCCATTTTCTCCTTCACGTTTCTAACTTGACTTAAATTATTTTTGATCGAAAGTACTTCTTCTTCAAGGGTTTTGTCCTTTTGCCTCTGCCTCCCGGCTATTTCTCTTAACTTGTCTTGTAGTTTAACGGCCTCGTTTCCATTTATCTTATTCGTTCTTAACACGCGTTTCGATAAGAGCGATGGCCTCTCTGATTTCCTCGCTTCTGCTTTCATTTTGTCATTAAACGTCTACTCTTGCTTGTCATAAAATCATTTTTGCCAGTTTCTCGGAACAGAACGACATCCACGCCAAGAGTTGTCTCTGTTAAAAAAGTGTGATATTAGTTAAAAGACTGCAAAACTTATCAGAAAGATTTAGTCGATTGCACAGAGAAGAGTCGTGAAACTGGCCTAATATTTTGATATTTTGATATTTTGCTTCAAAGTCTAAGATCGAGTGTTTCTCATTCAAAACTCTTATAAGCTTTTCTATAAAGGACGGACGAAACGCCCAACTCTTCCTCTTTCGTACTTTCGATACGCACACGGATATGAGTTCCTGCTTATCTTTAGTCATTAACCGACGTTTATACTCTGAGGGGTGTCGGATTGGAGGAAAAATACCCTAGTATTCTATGTTATCGCTTTTCCGTGCTTCACTCAAATTCTTCAGGCACCAAATTCTTAAACGTGTAGTAGACCTCCTAGGTACATAAACCGAAAAGCAGCTTGCCCCCTAGCATTGTCAAGAAAGGGCCAAGAAAGGTTACCAAAGGCAAGCATTACCAAAATAGCCATGACAAACTTTGATTCTTTTCAAGAATAAAATCATTGATTGTTTATTTTAGACTTCTAAGCTATAATCGTAAATTTTCAAGAGATTTATAGAATCTAATAAGAGATTTAAGAGATTTAAAGAGAATTTCATTCTACACATTTCTAGGAATGAACTGGCATGGTATTTAAGTCTTAAAGGAAAATGCCTCTGGAAAAATTCCCAAAGGATTTGGCATACACCTTACAGTTTGGCATTCTAAAGTGAAAACATCCAAAGGATAAACCATAAACCTCAACGGGATTAACCTGACTTCTAAGGGTTTATCTTATTTCCAAGACACCGCTTCCCCAAGGAGCAATAGTTAATGCTCCCTAGACATTTTATTGGCAAGCTAAAAGCATCCCTTAGGGTCGGTTGTTATGGGAAGTTGGTCAAAGATTTTAATACATAACCGCTTCAAAATATGAGTGAAAAGTAAAAATTAATGTATAGCTGATGTTCAGGGGTGCTTTCGTAAAGAACACATTTTACAAAAACCTGCATCAAAACTAGTGGTAAAATTTCTATTTTTAAAAGACTGACTGAAAATAAGGAGTGTAATCTTCTTTACTCTCCAGTTTGTAACATATTTAGTTAAATTACTACTCAACAATCGAACAGAAAATCCGTAAAATTTATCTTATTGTAACATTACCTTTATCCTCGATCGTTCTTCCAATGGCTTTGCATTTACTGCTCTGTTTTCTAGTCCACCAGCAAATGTCAGCTTTCAAGCACTTCGCTCAGTTTTTCAATAAACCAACCACTCCGCTTTCCTGAAGTTTTGAAAACAAACGAGTGAAAATCTGGTGGCTATTGATAGAATTATACGCAAAGAAAATAGAGCATTGCATAACAAAGCATCTTTTGTAAATTATGGTGTCTCAAAACTGAGGAAAAGGTCTCCCCAAAAAGGAAGAAAAATGTCTTGCATCGACAAAGCCTCACAGGGAACTTCCATGGAGACAGCGATCTCAAAGCAAGACTTTCAATGTTGATAGAAAGCAAACAGCGAATTAAGAAAGATATCCAGGCCTTGCTTTAAAAGTCATCTTGATATATGCTTTGTCGGGTTAGCAATGGGTGGCAGGGAAAACAAATTATAATATAGTGTAGAGATGAAATAAAAACACATTTCAACGAAGGCATTTTGCAAGATTCTAGTAAGAAACGAAATTCTACATTAAATGGATGCTTAAAGCAGTTCTTAAAGGATTTATTTATTTTCAATAATGAACTATGTAATTGACATTAATCTAGCAATTAAAGCCTAGCAGATAGGAATAAAAAAATTTATATTGTACCAAAAAGAGTTTGAAAACATAACGAAAAGAAATTTGTGTGGATTACAATTAAAGGTAGTGTGTCTTATCTCAAACCATTTATCTTCAAAACGGCTTTTAAATAAGTAAACAATTTAAGAAAAACTAAAGCATTTCTACTGGTACTCTTCAGAACATAAAATATCAGAAAATTGATCGAAAACTCAAAGAAAGGAAAAGAATGTACCCATTTGTCGATCCAGATAGGTCAATCAGAAACGCGAGCACATGACCCTCGAATGTAAAAAGTTTGTGTCCCACAGTCCCCCCTCCCATTGTACCACCATTGATTGCGACTTTGAGATTGCTGCCTGCATCAAATTTGTCATGGAGATTAGATTTTATCGTTGGCTAAAGTATTTTCTGCTTAACCTAGCTAACTGGGATGAAAAAACGCAATAAGTAGTTCAAACGGAATTATTGAGTGGTTTTGTGTACTGTGAGGTCTTTGCTCTTTACCGTCTTTATGCGTTATTCACGCTGAATAAATATAACATTCAAGTGAACTGCGATTGAAATGCTTATTGGGATCTTAAATCAAAGGAGGAAAACAAACCTTATTTTACGTTTCGCGCGGGTTTATGCAATTAGAATTTGGATGTTTGCGTTTCGAACAGAAGCAGCATCGATAGTTTGCTCAAACAAGGTTATAACTTGTTCAAATTTTATATATAGTTGGAATGGAATTGGAGAGATTACAGCTTGTGTCAATCACTAATCATGATTGCCAATTGTGATCACATAAAAAAAACACGGTAGCAGACAGTTGAAATGTAGCTCGTCGATGAGAGCTTTCAGGGGATAGAAAAGTTTTACGAATTATCAAAAATTCGAGTTATCAAACGCTGTCCAAAATAGAAATAATGATTTTTCATACGAATTAGGATAATCTGGCAGTCGAATCATCAAACACCAGCTTGATTTGCAAAAAAAAGAAAAACTGTTTCCAATTGGAAGTTTGAAACAGTTAAAAACGAATTGTAGGTTAAGTTCTTCGCTGATTGGGGGGGGGAGCTGTTTAAAAAGAGGTATCATTTTCAATGTGTCATACAATTCCTGCCAAAGTCACTAACGTCAGTTTTTAAGGGCAAATTCAGCCATTCCCCTTCCCTCCTTTGAACAATGTTGGTTTACTACAAACGACGTAGGGGATTAGGAAGTAAACCTTTTACTGCGATTTCTACAATATTCTTCAAAGTTATCAACATTGTTTTTGGGGAAAGGGGGTGCGGAAATAGAAGCATTCGGGAAAAAAATCGAAAAATACAAAAACAAAACGCTTGGCTTAGAGCTCCAGATAATTTTGAAAATGATTATAGCTTTCGACAAAATAACCAGAATCCATTATGACTATATGATTATGATCATTACGATAATGTCAATCAAAACAGTCAGCCAAGGTTCCTTGTAAAACGATTGTCACAGACCGTTGTCAGCGATAATCATGATCGTGGCAATCATCTTAATCGTGATTTTGATTGCAAACCAGAACACCGAAAGATTTATTGTAAATTTTCACAGCCTTGGTCAGTGATGGTGATCACCTATCAATATCATAGTTATTATTATGATCATAATTATAATCACGTGAATCATGGCGCAAATCTGCATCATTTGCTACTATCAATTATAGGTTTGATTGATAATGATTACCGTAAATCCTCAAATTAGCCCCCTGGTGGTTTATTTATTTTTGGTGTTTTTGGATAAGGGCTTATTCGAGGGGGAGGCTTATACAAGGGGGGGGCTTATAAAGTTATTGTAGACAATAAGAAGACATTATTCAAAGACCTCGTTCATTTTAGTAGAAATTTCTTTATGAGCATTGAATTAAATACTACCAAAAATATGAATTTGTTGTGGTAATTCAATAAAACGCCTAAGGCAACCTCAGATGGCAAAAATCCTCAAATGGAGGGGTCCAATTCGAGAATTTACGGTAGCAGTAGGGGCTTATTCGAGGGGGGGCTTATTGACAAGATGTAGTTCTAGGGTGGGGGCTTATTCGAGGGGGGCTTTTTCGAGGGGGGGGGGGCCAATTCAAGGATTTACGGTATAATGATTCTCAGATAACCAGCCATGAATCGTAATAACCACAAAAACATCTGACGTTGCCAATAATCAAACAGAGAGTATTTTTTCCATGAATTCGATCTTCTCGAAGTTTAATCTCGGTATGCCTGCCAAACTTTGTTAAGCATATATTTATATAAGTAATCTTTTCGACCTGCAAATTTGGATTAACGTCAGACGTCTTTTACGTTTGTACAACTGAAAACAAATTTGAGGTTGGGTTAGAAGCAGAATGGGTATTTTAACAACAATAGGGGCTTAAAAGACAATACTTTTGTGTTTGACATATATTTTGGCACATGACCCTATACAATGCTAGCTATTAATCTTGGGTATATTCTCTATGTTGTTCCATCCTTTGCTTAATTAAGAGAGAATTGGAGAAAAATACCCAGCTCTTTCTGCTAGGTTGATATATCGTTTAAAGAATTTGCATTTCACTAGATTTCGTGTATCTTGAAGACTGTACTGGAAACATTTTGGGAGTGCCAGGCATTGCTTGTATAAATCTAGGAAAAGGCAAACAAGCTACAGTGTTATTTAAAAAGCAACTATGTCCAATTTAAGGTACGCTTGCTTCTATGCTTTTTTCCTTCATATAACTTCCAACATCTCCGAGAAAAGGCTCCCCATTAACACGAGAAAAAAAGCTTAAAGGCAACCCTTTCACGGTAATTATACAGACCGATTTTTTTCTAATTTTTTAACAACGCGATTCAACAGCAAAATGCTAGTTTATGGTCTAAAGAATTATTGGGATAAAGTGCTCCAAAAAATTTGTATATGCACTGGGCAAGACAAAGTTGAAAATCTGTCATGACGTTATATTGTCATGTTCATGAACTTGAGGATAGGAAACCATAATTTCTCATGAGAAAGGAGCAATGACCTATTTTGAAACAAAGAAACAACATTGGTGATTTTCAAAATTGTCAAAATTTTTCAGTAAGTTTTGTTCTCTCCTTCAGTAACTCCCTACCAGTGTGAATATATTTACCATCCTTAAATCTGAAATTTTTTAAAAGCTCTGATAATTGCTTGTTGTGCTTTGTATGTATGTAGAGTGGAATTTGAAAATAACGGACCTGAACATGGCACCAGCTCAAAGGACGTTAAGGCGAGCAAATCTGATGGTCGAACTAGTAAAAATTTGCATGAAAATGAAGTGATTATCAATTGCACAGAAATGAGAAAGAAATAAATGAAGCTGAACCTTTCATAAAAAAACAGAAAAGTGGATCAATTACAGATCACTCACAGTAACAGACTTCTCAAAACAAAGGACAAACGATTTTGTACCAAAATTTCTATTTAGCTATTAGGTCAGCAAGAAAACGGACACATACTTGCAGTTCGGCAAATGATCTTAGTATAAACGTCTCAGGGTCCCTTATAGGTCTTGACAGTGCTACACAGGATGTTATTCTACAAATCTTTGAAAATCCCAGTTTACCCACGGAATTCCTCTAAAACAGGCTGCCAACCAAAGATGCCCTATTTTTAATTATATTGTCCTAGGAAATGGAATAAGGGATATCAGTTGTAGGGACAACAAACTCTTGAACTTTTTGTTCCTTTTTGTTCACTTCACGATCGAGACATTAAAACGCCCCTTTCCAACATGGCTTGGATTGAACTTGACGCTGGATATTGTTGCTGTTAACGAAAACTTTTACTTGTAATGAAACCTGGACTGGTTTGCAATGATCAATTGATAAAAAAATACAATCAATGAACCTTAATCGGAGAAGACTAATGGTATCAAAGTGCATGTCTTTTCTTAGAATTATAAATCATTCTAATAGTTCCTGTTTGATTATATCAAGGTATATATGCCTATATAAAGGGTCTCTTTATACCTACCCCACTGATATCCAGAAAGCTTTTGCTAGTTTTGGCCACGGCAACAAATTTGTGACTTCTTCTTGCTTTCACTTCCAGCACACAGTCAAACACCGAGTGAATGAAAACACGAGAACCAGAAACTACGTTTCAATAATCAGTCGCTCGTGGCAACAATTGAAAGTTAGTATTTGATCAAGCACATGTTAATCTTGGCTTGTTTGTCATGCTTCTAGAGGTGCTATGACTTCGATCGGCTAAGGGAAATTGAATAAAGATAAGTGATCGGTAACTTCAACAAAAAGTTGGTTATTCCAACCACTGTTCGTACATCTTTGTGGTTGCTTTATCTGGCTTTACCGCCTTTTCATGAATACTTTGTATGGTCAAAAGATCAAATGCTCCAACATCTTGCAAGCTATTGTACGCGCTTGCACTCCCAGTACTCCTTTCCAAAGGTCGTTACATTAAAGGCAATGCCCCAGTTATTGTGAAATCAGGGTCTTGATTGCAGGGGTGCCAACTTACAAGGTAAGGAAGAGGGGCAAGACCACACCAATGGTAACAAATTATATGTGCATAAGAAGTCATTCAAACTATTCACAAACTTTTCAAACAATAAGTTTGATTAAAATTGCTCAAACGTGGAAAATCAATAGCATAATAAAGGGTTATTTCACATTGCCCAACAAGGAATTCGCCCAACCAAACATATACTGGCATGTTAAGGTGGATGGGACTGAGCTCTCTGAAATCTGAATTGAACAAGGGGGCTGAGCCCCCACTCCCTTCCGCAGCACCCCTGCTTGGTTGATGCTCACTAAAAAGCAAATGTTTATTCAAAAATCTTTGACGAAGCAGGAGAAAATAACACCCTATAATGAAGGAGGACATCTTTAGAATACAAAAAGTATGAAACAGGAGATTCCACTTGTACTGCTACTTCCTTTAAAAAACACTAGAACTTGCTCAATCATAAAGATATCGCCCCTTGCCCTCACCTCAATAAGGAAGATACTGCCCCTTGTCCCTCTTTTGAAAATGTGCAGCTGTCAGATCCTTACCCCTTAAAAGGTTATAAGGTTACATAGATTGAAACATTTGAACATTGCGAATCGATTAATTTTGCATATATAGAGGTTTGGACATAAAAAGCTTTGTAAAGACCATTGATAATATAAATAACGATCAATGTAAGTATACCATTGATAATATCTCTATGAAAAATTCTTAAAGATAGACTTGTTCTGTTTATAAAGGTTTTGTTGGCTTTAAGTAAACAGGGAAGTGAAATGGCCTAAATTACAAAAGCAGATCCACAAAACTGCATTGAGACATGAAAGGTTTGCTGTCACTGTTCTCCCTTTAATAATGTTTATTCAGCTCCGGCAAATATTAGTGTAAAGAAACATTACAATCATAATTGAAGTCACACTTCTTCTCAAAGGAAATTTCCTTTCTGAAAACAACTCAACACGAGATTTATCTATAAATCTATTATTACAGTAATGCAATTTTACAGTAAATGATTTAAGATCCTCGAGAAATATGACATATATGTTCGACCTAGTTTGTTCATGACTACGTAATATCATTCTCCGATTATGTAAATTTGAAAGCAGACTTAATTCCTGGTTCTATTTTAATGTAAATCAAAATTACATTTGCTTTCTTGAGTGTATCAATCAAAGCGCAATATTAACCCAGCCATAAATTCACGGAAGGAATTTGACAATTTTCCTATCGGTTGAAAACATGTTATGTACGAGTTATGTGAATACAACTGTCTCATTCAACTTTCCGCATACGAGGTAGTCATAATCTTTATCGGGTGACAGGGTATATAGGTAAAACATTATTATTAAAGCTTCAACTAGTTTAATTATATAGAGAATCAATGAATAAGGAGAAAGGGAAGTAATATAACGATTTTTTATCCCATCCCGCCAACTCCTTTCTTTATTGAGTTATAAGAGGATGCTTCTAATTGGATATCCAACCTATCACCGATAAAGCAATAAAAATCCTTCAACATTCAACCATCAACATTCAACCACATTTTGTTTTTTGTCTCGTTCAAATGTTTAAATGAGATGGCTGAAGTGCAGATCCGCACGAGGACATTCGTAAGAGAGGAGTTACTAGGTTCTTAGTTTAAGCAGCCACTTTGAGATGATAGTAAATGGAGAAATCGGAAAGCAAAGAAGCTATTGACAGATGAGGACGTCAATTCACCCAAACAACGAAGCGGCTGCTATCAGTCCTTAAATGGTTGTTTTTCTACGGATATTTTGAGCGTTCATCTACTTATGCGATTGTTTGGCCTATAGCACACAACTTTCCATCATCACTGTGTCACGGAATGGGTGCAACACAACCACTAGCGCACCTTCAGATTAGGTGTGGGGGGGGCAAAACACAGTCAAAACCATGTTTAGGGTGTGTTCATATGAACATAGGAGTTACAAAGACGAATGTATCCTTTCGAGAAATGTTGCTGTGATATAGGTAACAATTTTGAATTGACTTGAACGAAATTCAGATGGCAAAATACGGCAAAAATAGAATAAGATTGTTTCTTTTCATCCAAGATTGGCTCTAGTGGAACGAGAAAATTTCCCATCAAAGACTAGATTTTCCACAGAACATTTAAACAAATCTTGCAAAGGGGGCGAACATTTAAACAAATCTTGCAAAGGGGGCGACCGCAGCTATGTGACTGCGTGCATCCAAAAAGCTGACCCAATTAATATCCTTATTAAAGGCGGCAAGAACTCGTGCCATGGAAAAAATCCAGTCTTAATTCCTTGGATCGCTTTCCAGTTTTTTGGCATAATCTCCGTATGCACCACTTAAAAACTTCAAGGAATTGGCTGTCATCAGGGTGATCCCCGGTGACGCAACCATGTGTTGGGGAAGTTCCGCTTGCTGGCAGGATTTTTGCTTAGGCCCCAAGGCAGCTTTATGTATGCTTATGCACCTCTATGCTAAGGTCCCTATCACCACATGTTTTAGCATGCATAGTAATTAGAAAATGTTCAGCAATCGTAAAAGTGCCAAAGATTTGCAGGTTGTCATGTGTTGGGCGATTTTTATCAGAAAAGTATTAAGAGAACTTTTATGATCGTACGTATGGAAAATGTCTCTGGTTGTGCGGTGCCAGTGGCGTACACCGAAGGGACAGGATAATCTAAATCATAATTGGTAGACTTTAAGCAGCAAGATCTAAAGAAAAAAGTGGCTGAGAAGAAAGAGATGATACAAAGAGACTATGACAGGGGTGGGGGGGGGATGACCAGGGCAGCTGACCCCTGAAAAGGCTGGGGACAAGGCAAAGCTAAGAAGACCAAAAAACATGAAGTGATTAAAAGAAAGAATAAAGAATGAAGGAAAGATATAAAAAAGAAAAAAATGGAGAGGAAAAAAATGTGAAGAAAGAGAAGCAAATGACAAGTGTGAAAACAAAGATGACCAAGAAAAATAAAACAAACAAGGATGGACGAGAAGATGGAGAAGAAAAAGATGATAGGCGGAAAAAAGAAGATGGATAAGAAATAACAGGTTGAAAAAACAAAAAAGGAGAAAGACAAGAAGAGGTAGAACAAGATGAGAAAGAACATACGATGACTGGGCGGAAAAAATACGAAGAAGAGAAGTTGTATCAATCAGCAAAATGATGATAGGCGAATAACAATTTATACTGACTTCTCACTAATGAAGTCTCCAGCCCATTGCACTGGGAGAGGATATGCTTCGACACTCTCCTTCCTAATGTGACCATAACTGACTGATCAGTAATGTGACCAGTAAAGGTATCACTAGAACAGTACGCTGTCAAGAAAACTCTTGCCCAGAATATTGTGCGTCAAACATTATGGTTTCAATTTCTTTAAATTATAAGCTATGGCTACCTGTGTAAGCTACTTAATCTATCAGAGTCAACTCAAAACTAAGAGTCTTTCCTCGTCTCTGTGTGCAAGGGAAAAATGGTGCAAGATATCCTCTCCTCTTAAAATGAGATTTGTAACAGAGGTATTGAAAAGAGAGCAGTGACGTAAAAACATTAATGACATAACTTTGTTTCTTTCATTCTGAGCGAATTTTTCTCTTTCGCCTTTTATTGTCAAGTCACATAGTGATGAAATACCCTTGCTGTTGCATTTGCCCCTACCGCCATGTCCACTAACATCTCGACACAGAACGAAATACTTTTTCTATATTTTGTTGTCTCAATCCATCGACGTCCCTGTTTTAAGAAATCTACATTTACACTTTGTTCTAGCAACCGATGCTTTCCCAACAGTCTCTTTTCAACGTTTAGCATTCTCTGTCTCAAAAAAATTCCTGTGTATAGACAAAATTGTTTCTTTATATTTTTCGGGGCCTTTGATGGTACCCAATAACAGATTAAAAAATATTGGGGGATTCCATTGGATGAGAGATTCGGTTTCATAGTAAATCATACTTTTGCGGGTTTACTAATGTGTCACGCTCTTTTAAATATTTCCATGGCACAAATGATTCACTTTTTCAAATGAAACTAAAATTAGCTGGTTTTGGACATTCTTCATTTAAAGGAATTTTGACACGATGGTAACTGATGGTATACATCATCTTGTATAAGCGAAGGAAAGTTTTGAGGCTAACGCTAAGGAAACATTAATGATGCCTGCCTGCATCCCTAGTTTTCATATACGTAGCGTTTTCGCCATACAGTCAACTCAGTTTACAGTCACTCCGCGTAAAGTCACACTACTGGTTACAGTCACATAAAATTTAGGCCGAAATATGCAAAACTGTTATATTTAGCTCCGCTTACAGTCACAAGTTTTCAAGCAACATTTGGTGTGACTACAACCAGAGTCTACATAGCAAGCGACCTTAACAGACTGAAATCATTTCTGATATAAACTTGGGGTTCTACGTATATGGATATTACATCGTGATAATACGAGGGTATTAAACAAGCAAATAACCTTTCTCACAGAAATTGCTTTGAATAAAAAATGGACTTTAGGATTCCCTGTGGTGCCGCAGCGATTTTGCTTGCGCAGCTACAGTGGGTTCATAGGTCGATTACAGTGAGTTGCTTAGGAAAGGTCTCAGGATGAGACAAAAATTGACACCTGAATTCATGTAAATAATATATTTCATTGATTGTAAAGGAATTTACATCTAAAATTATTTAGAAATTCAATTTAATTTAACCCCTAGAACAAAATAATTCTAGCGTGTCCATTCAAGATACATTGCAGCAAATTTAATAAACAACTTGAGATCAGATTGTAGGTGTAATCTCTCTTCCAGGCAAAGCCTCCAAACGAAGCTCTATCAACAGGGCACCCTTATCTGCTGTTGCTAGGAGATGAAGCCCTATATACAAACATGGCTGCTCACAATGTACCTGTCGCATATAAGGCCTCAGAGTATAAATAACTGAACCACATGATGCGAGAGTTTAAGCCAATTTGCTAAGATGACCTAACTATGTCGTTCAAATGTAACAAGAGATGGTAACTTGGTAACTGATTTTCCTGACCAGAAAATCCAACAGAACGTTTTCTTTCCATACAGCTGGTCAAACGTGATTATGTTGGAGATTAACGTTCCCGGCTGTTTCATTGCAACGGTGAGCGAACTACTGCAGCTAGGAAAGAAATGAAGAGACGTATTGAGAATGCAAGAGTTAATAAGTCAACGATAGTTAAAAACACCTGTAAAAAGATTCCGGAGTTCGCTACATAGTATCTTCTTAAGAATGTGAGCAACGAGTTTCATAAGGATTTTTAAAAAATATGGCAACCGTTTTAAAATGTAAATTTCAGTTTTCAACTTTTTCGTAATGCCACGGGTGGTCATAGCATATTGCACTCCGTGGTATGGTCCTTGTAATATTGTAAAGCATTTTGTACGTAGAGTTACTGGGAAACTTGTATTGTAAATTTCATTGATTCATCAGGCTGTGTCGGATTATTACTTTGTTTATACGATATCATTTCAATCTAATTTATTATGTCTTAAGTATTGCTGGCCATCCTCACACATTTTCAGAGCTGTAGCAAGAAATAAGAAAATTGGCGGCTTATAGAAAATATATGATGATATGATGAAGTTGCTTATCAAAATAGATTATTTCTTATTATAAGTCGTTCGGAGCTTGGATATACAAAGGACTAAAAATTACTTTCTTAATAGGAAAATTTCGAAGAATAGAAACAAATATGGATAGAAAGAAATCCAAAAATACGGATAATTTTAAATCTAGGCCAAATACCTTTAGGATCATTGTACTTCTTCCCTCCACACATCATTTGGGGGATCTGAAGGTCCCCCATGTTGAGCAGGGGGTGCTTGAAAGCCATTTTCAATGGGGGCATCCAGATCATCAACCATGCCACGATGTCCAGATGAATGCTTGGGCTTGACGCACTGAAAATCGACATGTCGACTCTTGCTTTCTTCTTTCTCCCAAGACATATGCACAAACGGTCGTTGTATGTAATTATATATCACTGGAGACAAACGGTGTACAAAAATATTGATCTGTATAAATGTATCTATTCTTTATTTCATGCTGAAGGAACATGCTTGAAGGGACAGTAAAATTCAGTCTTACAAACAACCTTTGTAACAGATCTTGAATTCTTATAACCTTTAACTTTGTTCTAGTATTGAGCTGGATTGCCAGATAGGCCTAGTTGTAGGAATGCCTCAAATTTCAACAAAGCCTGAATATATACTCCTTCCTTTTTAGCCTCCCCCGAATAACGGAATTATTGGGGGATAGGCCCCTCTTTATGACTCAGAAAATTAACCTCCCAAATTTGATATTTTAGTATAAGCAATGGAAGGGAATAAGACTTGTAATAATAAATTACTCATTCAAGGTTAGCACGATGATAGCTGCAAAGCTGATTAAAACCAACCATTAATTAACTTAAACGAAGATTAAAAGTAACTAAAATACAATTAAGCGATCTATAAACGACCAAGGAAAAACCCCGGAATATTTAATGCACTTGCTCCAACCCCCCCCCCCCCCCAAAAAAAGCGAAACTTCAACAAAGGACCCTAGAGCACGTATGAGTCCAACCGGACACATAGCACAGCAAAAACCGAAACAGCATCGGACATTTATCGATGTCTAAAAGAAGCGATTAGCAAGAAGATCCGACTCGCATCTCATTTGTTGGTTGGTAAAAAGCAGAAAAATTGGCTAAAATCCGGATCATAAATACAAGAAGAATGCTACAGGAAAGGGGCATATGGAAGGCAACATCTTTGACATTAGACGCAGTAGCCTGGAAAAGCTCTCAATTCTTTCTTGGAAACCACCTTATTTTAAATTTCAGCGGCCTTTGTAGCGAAACTAAACTTGTTTCATGATACAAAGAATTATCCAGTCTGCAAAAGCTACATATTTTTATGGTCAAGTCATCAAATATGACCTCAAATGGGATTATTCAAAGATAATGTTGGGAGTCAAATAACTGGAAGATCACATATTTTTAAGGTCAATAAAGCCTCTCCTTTTTATCCCAAAACCGCTAGCAAAGTATGTTTTCATCTTCAACCTAGTGATTAATTGAATCAAATCCAAAAGCAGAGATATCAGCACAACTGATTCGTGAATTAAAGTTAATTTCAGAATTGAATGAATTGGTAGTGCATTGGGCCAAAAGAAGTGTAGAAATAATTCTCTCATACCTTCTGGCTTTCCGCCATTGGGTTTAAATTTCAGCTTTTCCATATGTGTCGGGTACCCTAAAAAGCAAAAAATGACGAGAATTAGGATCAAGTTGACGAATGATAATGATGATCATAATAATAATAATGATTTTTCTTCTTCTCATAAGAAATCAAAAGAAAAATTACAAAATTACACCAGCAGTGCCACGGGGAGGAGGGAGCTGGGGTACAATGGTGGATATCTACCCGATGGCCATAAAACTTAATAATACAAGAACAGGAGAACGAAATACAGGAAACATAATATACACGTACACCCTTCGTTCCGGTAAGAACGCTTACAATCATAGCGTGGAACACAGTCCAGGAAAAAGAACGAGAATATGTTTAATATATTATAGACAGTGATCGGCAATGATGCTAATGGTTTTCGATGATGATTATTATTATCATTCAATCATGATTAATGATGGTTGCAAGTGATTTTGCTCCCGTGAAATAAAATGACAACTGGTATGAAATTATTATGATAAAGAGAAAAACAAACCTAACTCGATTTACAGCTATTAATTGGATGCCTTACCACAACTTTTCTACTCACCTTCAATACCGAGTTTGACCTTTTTTAGTCCACGGTCTTTGAGTACCTCCTTCGCAACGTCCCTGTTCTCAAAGTATTTGAAAAAGCGCAGCAACGGGGTACTATGAATGACTAAAATGAGACAAAATTAGAAAATTATATCTTCTAATGGGCTGCTTTTAGCCATTAAACATCCAAAATGCGTTATCGTACTTTTTTGGCTTATTAAAAGCCAGCTAAATCATGGTGGACTTAAATTCCTGAGTCAAACTTGGGCTCAATAGTGGGGGATCACATCTCTGACCGAGGGAAGCGAAAGGCAAATAAGTAGACGTTGAAATCAACTCTGGGTTAGATAGTTGATGACTTTCCACCGTCGGCAAAATCTTTGTAATAAGAATTACAAACTGCAATCTGCATGCCGGAAACAACGCACGTGTACCCTACCCTGACATCGTGCAGATTAGTCAACTGCTTTATTCTGAGCCAAGGGGTAAGTCCCCAGCGTTATTTATTATATCCTTGGACAATTCTGTCCTCGTTTGATATCTTGATAATCTGTGCTTCATATAGAATGACCTCGATGCTTTGTCGAAGGATCTGGTTTTAAATCTAATATCATGACCCAAAAATCAAGATAAAAATTAACAACAAACTTGGCGTACTTACTTTCAACAAATTCCTCCCCCATGTTTGGTGGATAATCTTCATCCCATTGAACTGTGTCGTCGTCTTGAAGGACAACCAAATGACACTCTCTGTTTCCTCGCTTGATAAATAAAAACATGGGTTTAGCTTAACGTTGAGGTACGTTACTGCAGGTGAATAACCCATGCGTTTTGTCGCTACAAATGACATACTAAGCCAGAAAACATTTCAATACGTGAAAGACTTCGATCAAATATTCGACACAAAAAAATTCTTCTTCCATTTTTAGACGACGTGTATAAAAAGCTACTAAGGCTAGCTAACGAACGAGCTATTAATTAAGCTTCATCTAGAAATATTTAGTCTTTACCTATTTGAACCATTTTCAATTAAAATTTTCTTTCATTGTCAATTTTCGTATTCTTTCAAATGAATTATAAAAATAGGGAAAAATAGCATTTCACCTGAAACTCTTCAGAGTAAGAAAAAGTAAGAATATTTTCGATAACTATTCAGTTATCGAAAAAATTAAGTACGAATCGAAATAGGCCAATCAGAAACCCAAGCTTATGACCGGTTTGTGTGTATTTATATCTATATGTTTATACTGTTATATTGGTTATTGAAATGTAGGTCTATCGAGGGGGAATAGCAGGGATATACTAAAATAAAATTATAATGAAAGATGTGTGTATACAGATAATTGCTTGTGAAAATCTTGAAATAGGGTTATGAGTTATTTGCAGATGCAGGTGATGAAAAATTTATTAACAAATGTTGTTATAAATGAGAATGGAGCCATATTTCTCATTTCTGCCATTATGGACCACACACAATTCCTCTACCAATGTCTTGAGATGTGGTTAATGCTCCCAGTGACCCCTAATGCAAGCATCCCTGTCTTTGGATATGTTCAAATTGAGGATTACGTGTTGTGAGCAGACAGACACTAAAGAGGGGGGCCATCGTATATTCTGGCAACAATGCTGGCCATTTAATACCAGACTAAGGGCATGTCTTTCACATATGAGGACACATAGGCAATGAAATTCCTTGATTGAATGTCTCATACCCTGACTACAAAACATCAATCAAGGAATCATACCTTTGCACAAGAAATCATGACAGGTAGAATATGTTGTTCAAGAAACTGATACTTGAATTGCTCCCTTGCACCTTCATTTGAGATTTCATGCAGAAGATCGCCTTTGGAAAACAGACAATCATTATAAAGAGAATTTACAGTTAAACAGATCTATGAGTTGTATTTTAAATACAATTCCAAGAATGAAATTAATGAAGTAATTAGGAAACTGTTGACTGATGATTGCATGAAATTTAGATTTGCACCTTAGAACCATCATGTTCTACACTCCAACACATGCACAACTCAGCCCTTTAGGGCTTAAAACACAACACGACAGAGCCATGAAGGGTGGTCCTTGAAATTAATTTGATTATTGATGAACATTAAAGAAAATGGAAATGGCATTTGAAAACAATGAAGCAAACCAGCAATGAATCAACAACTAGAACTTTATAAATCAAATTAAGACTGAATTGTAATATTTCTTTAAAATTATGAATAAAATTTTTTTCTCTTCTCCTTTGATCCAGTAAAAGAAACATACAACCAAGCCTATATAACTATTCAAGTAAGCCCTACAAACATTAAAAGCTTCGTAAGGAGCCTTTGGTGTGGCAATAACTTGAGTCTACAGTAACAGTATTTTAGTCTAGGGCTAAACAACTAAATGCAAGTAGTAACAAAGTTTGTTGATGGAACCAAGATGTCTAACAGCTTGCATCATAGAAGATTAGTTAAACTCACTCATTGCCAAACCTGGACTAACTTTACCGGGCTTTGTGGCAGGGCATCTCTGAGATACTGACAAAGAAGCTTGTGAAAGTGCATGTTGCACATCTGTGTGGTGTATTAAACTAAAGGCTTGATAAACTTTTAATGAGAAAAGCTTTAACTGAAATTGTTTTGAAATATAAAAAACAAGTGCTTACATAAATTTTGGCATTTTATTATGCCAGCATCAAATGGTATCAGCAAGTAATCGCATGCTTCTCTCAGTTCAGGTATTGTCACATTTGGTGTGCAAGTCATTGTTCCCTTTTTATAAAATTCCTGGAAAAAAGGAAGGATATAAATCTCAGAGATTACATAAATCTACAAAATGAAACTTTTGTTAAAATACAGGAGCATTTGCAAGATGACAAGGACAAAAACATAGAAAAATCAACAGTAAACTGCCTAAAAAACAACAAACAAAACTGATGAACAAAATAAATAGCCCAATGAACACAAAAAGGAATTCTTTGAGAAATTATTTTGGTTCTTTAATGTGGCCTTCTTCAATTTTATTTAAATTTCAAAACTCTTTTGTATGAAAGCCTTGAATAATTAATTGAAAATAATAATATTAAGAAAGTTATGTAATAAGCTGGATCTGCTTACAGTAATAAGTTGAGGGTTTCTAAAACAAAGAAACCTTCATATTATAAAACTGAAATTCTTGTAAAGCCACAATACTTAATCATGTTGTGTATTTGAACAGAATAATTTCATGATTATGAGTCAAAAAAGACCACAAGCCATGAGAAACAGCTCAAAAGCAATTTGATTTGACATAGAAAATTTTTGAAAAACCTACTTGATTAACTTTCTGTAATTTGGTTCTTTATTATTTATAGCTATATGGTTTTAGGAACATAACAAATTGTGCCTAGAATTCTTTTTGGTGCATGGTTTAGAAAAACTTTTTCTTTGTCCCCCTTTTTAGGTCCATAGAATCTCAAGCACTGGCAGGATCTCTTTTTTTCCAAAGATCCATTCAAGATGAAAGAGCTCTTTTTTTAAAACATCATTGCCTCATATGAACATTACTGTTTTAATTTTCTGCTTACTTTCTGTCATTTTCAGACGTTTATACTCTGTAGAGTGTCAGACTAAAATGCTTCAGTATGGAATGTTTCTGCTTTTTAATGCGATCTTCAAATTACTGTTTTACCATTGTATCACATAGGGAGGGCTGGATTCTGTAAAGGCAGTGCTCCCAGCTAATGTGATTAATAAAAAGAAAGGATGGTTGCAATTGCAAGCTTCACACTTTATTTCACCATCAGTAAACTTTACCTTTACATATGTGGGCTGGGTTCTGCATCTGTTGCATTCTCTAGACTAAAGATATTCTGTTGAATATGACTTACCATGATAATTTTGAATACAGCAGATGATAAACCTTTGGCAACTTCAAACTCCCCTTTTTCATTTGCCTTCATATAGTCTGAATGTGAAGTGAACATTCTGCAAAGAGATAACATCAAATGCATTGGAAACCCACAAACTCTAGGATACTAGTGTCTTAAAGAGTGAAAACAAAGCCTACTATGTTTCTGATGGTAATCCTTTTTCCAAGGTGTGATAAAAGTTCTTATAATCCTATCATAGGCAACACCACGTTGGGTAATGCCAAGATGGTTTTAGCAGAGGGTAATTACACTAAGGAGTCAAAACACATCTGATCTGAGTCTTTTAAAAGTTGATACAAACATATTAGGAATGAGTATGACATAGCTTTTGTCGAATACCACATTTTGACAAATTAAAGGGTTTTGGCCTTAATGGCACTTGTAATTTAAAAGCCAAGACCATCTTATATAGATTTAATAGGTTAAAGTTGAGAAAAAATTGAGTTGTTAGAGGCAGTGATCATTTGTAGCCACCTCCACTTCTGGGATCACACCCTTTGACACAAAAGTTAGAAATGATGCCCCAGCATATAAAAGACATTGGATTAGATTAAAACTTTGAAAAAGGTTGAAAGAGAAGATATAGCTATGAAACAGACGATGTAGATATAGATTCTGAATTACTTTTCTAATTTTTATGTAATAAAAATATATTTGGATGGCTAATAAGTTGTGAAGCTCCATATTGAAAATAAACTGTGCAAGCGTACCTTCCAAGCATGGTATCAGGCATTTTGAGGAATAACTGTGGATCTGTGACAAATCTAGTTTCATCAACTACAAGTGTCACCCTGTCTGGTAGTGACATAGATGAACCATATCTACTTGAAATAACAGATGATGACATTCTTGGAGTAACTCTGTATGTTGCTGGAGCGAAAGCAGATGAAGTGCTCTGAGAAAAATTCCTTGGCGCATTGTTTTCTTTTATTGGCATTCCTTCTCTGGTGGGACTTCTTCTGGGCTCTCTTGGGCCATCGTTGTCAGAAACATCAATACTTGATCTTGGTGATGTGACTGAGTCTATGGTTTTCAGTTTACGAGCAAGCCTCTCCTCTCTTGATGTAGCTGTTACCTCTGCTACTGCTTGAACTGGTTCTGTGCTTGCCTTTTTTGCGAAAGAAAGCAGAGACTTCATGATTAACGCTCTGCACTGGATTGATTTCTAAACATTTGTACAAAACACGCTACGAATTAATTCGAAAATCACACGGACTACGTTTAAAGTCTTTTGAAATTAATCTTTTTATTGAAAATTCTTTTAAGTAAGGACGGGCGCTAGACTGCTATTGGACGGAAACACGGACGGGAAAACCTGAGGTGAAAAACAACAAACTGACAGTTGCAAAAATTTTAGGCCCTTACCACTACTCCAGCAGCCTCAGCAACGCCTCTGTGGAACTGGGCGAGTTCTTCGTCTGAACTTCCATCATCATTACCGCGGGCTGCTGCTTGTCCTTGTCTACTACAATCTGAGTTATTTCCGTGGTTCATATCAAACTATCTCGGCATTCCTACACCGAAATTTGTCATAGCAGTATGCAGTTGTCAGCTGGACCAATGGCAGGACACACGTTATGTTATCAGCAGGGCGGAGGCGCAATAGTGACGTCATATTTTGGTTTGTTATGAAAACATGCGATTGTGACACTCCCTCGGCTACTGGAGAGTCTGTATAAATGAATGAAATTTTGTAAGTGAAAACCAGGGCTAAGCTTGACAACTTGCTTTCAGCCTGGTCTAAAGAGTAAAATACAATAAACTAAACTAAAATTGAGATCCTAATAACTAACAAGGATATTTACAGAAAGAAATTATAATGCTAAAAGATCACTTATGTTTAGCACAAGCGTCTGGTTAAATTTTGTATATGAAGTAGGCTTTGCAGTTTGTATTTTTTTAAAGTTTTCAAAAGTTTTGAAGTTAATGGGACTTGGTAACGAATTCCAGACCTTAGCTCAACGATTTTACGCAAGTATGTCAAATTTCTAATTTTGAAAAACTTATAATTTACAGCAGCTCTTGTTCGGTGTTGGTGAAATTAAGCTGTTTAACAAAAATTTCGTACAAGTATTTCATATTTTCATCTTTCATTTCTAGAGTTGCCCTTCAGCAAAGTTGATTCACAAGGGGTCCTAACTAAAAATAACAATTACAATTAATAATACTTTAAAAACCGTAATTATGAAACCCTATTTATAGCAGCATAATATTTACATCAAATTATATTCAAGAGTTATAATAGAAATAAAAAAACAAATATCCACTAAATAGAATGTTTAAAACTACTCAGTGTTGATGTCTGCTTAGGCTCAGCTCAGAGGCTATTCCGAGTAAGGTGGTTGGATATTATTGTTGACTTTATAGAGAAGAAAGCATATATTATACTCAATTCATTTATTCAATGGTAGCCAGTCGTCTTGGGAAACAGGCTATGCCTCGGACTATTGTAAAGATTTCACCCACAGTTGGATGAAATATAATAGCATTGATGCTGATTTTTCTAGTAGCATTATGATCGATGATGTTAGGGAGAGGGCCAGGAGCCAATAGCTAAGCCGTAACAGAGGAAAGAAAGGGGTGGGGTGTTAGGAAGGAGACAGGTGATAAGATCATAGTACTTGATTTTAGTTTTGAATAAAGATAGGTGATAGGTGTCTGGGAGGCAGGGAGATGGAGGAAAGTTCCAAAGTTTCAAAGATCTGGAGAGAAAGGATGAGTTGGGGGAAAGTGTTAGTGAATTTCGCAAAGAGACTTGGAAAGGGTTAGCATAATAACAGCATCTGGTACTGCGTTAACGTACAATGCTTAGCTTCAGAAATTTTCTGTCTCTGCAATTGCAAAGGTTAGGGGAGTTTTCTTGCAAAGGTGTTGGGTATTACCCACACAAGCAGCAAAAGTTCAGTAAGGGACATTTGAAGGACTTAGGAGTAGAGTAGCAATTCAATTTCGCACTATAAATTTGCCTTTGATTGCCAAATAAGTTGTGCTTCATTAAAAAATATCTCAACGATGCTTCATTTAAAGGACGAGGCAGTAAGCCAAATACAACGTTTTCTTTCAAAGTAACAGCCCCCTTCTTTCCGGAAAGGCCCCCTTACCGTGCTTGCACCCGATAACGAGGCTGTATGGCCTAGACACATGTGTTGATTTTCCTCCATGTTGGTTCTGTGGTTGCACGTAAAAACATAGAAAATGTTGACTTGTGCTGCCTGGGTGAAAAAAGGTATCGCAAAAGAGACACCAGATAAGGTATTTAATGTTACTATACAGTGCTTGCTGTGATTCGTTTGGGTAATGTTGATAAATTAAAAGAACTTATCTCGTCATTTATTCGTTCAAAAAGTCATTTAGGCTCTGATTTGGTATGAATATGTCCCTTTTCGCCAAAATTTGGAGATCACAGCAATCTGCGTGCATTTACTTTTAAAGACTTTCTGGCATAATTTTACCATACTTTTCAAACCTGATCCATGCTGGGAAAGTTGCTTTCAACACACAAGACAATTTTGTTTATCATGATGTATGTTGGTTAAACACGTCCAAACAGAAGTTGTCCTCTCATCTCATCATCATTTTCAAGTTGTTTTTCTAAATGAAATTACAAAGACGACAAGTTCTATATATAACAGAAATTGTGTCATTTATTTTTAAAGAATTTGATACACTTTGAGATTTAAAAGAAGATGCACTTTTAGAGGCCTTTAGTTTTGATAGCACAATAGAATGTGATTTGTTGTTGTCAATTTTCACTTTAGATAGAGCTATCTAAAGAAGATGTTGAAGAGCTCATGAATGAAACAAAACAAAGAGTAAAGTTAGTATAAACTTCTTTCTGATTAACATATTTATGTTTAAAACCCAGACAGAAAAGTTAAAAACCCAGTCATGAGGACATCATAGCTCATAACAATCATAGCCATACACTTTTAACAAATGCGCTGTACCGTAATGCCTTGAATAAGTGCCTGCACACTTCTTTAATTTTTGAGGCTCCAGGGTTGGTGTTTATTCAAGGGAGGTGCTTAATCGAGGAGGCCTTTATTTAAGAAATAGATTTGGGTGCAAATGGTGTTGTTCATTTATCTTTCTTGCTGAATTGCCTTCCAATTATGTTTTCGTTGAAAACTTGAATAAGCGCCCATCTTTCAACCTTCAGAAATGGGCACTAAATCGAGAGTTGAAAGATGGCCGCTTATTCGAGGGTTGGGCACTTATTCGAGGGGGGTGCTTATTCAATAATTTCACCTCTAGGGTGGGTGCTTATTTGAGGGGGTATCTTTTTTGAGGAGGGGCTTGTTTGAGGCATTACAGTGTGTATGTATGGAGTAATTTTAGTCAGAATGGTTTGGCTGACTTGCAATCACAAATTTTGTTAATTTTTATTCTTTTAATTAATTCACAAATTTATCATTTGCTTAGCCACTTGATGCTCATTCCAGTTCAAATGTACTCTGATAAACTGTGTAGTGCATGTTCTGCTGGAACCCAAAGAAAACCAATTTTCTGCACTGCATTTTCATTAAAGAGCGTCTGACACACATGAGGTCTCATCAGAAGTGCCAAATAGTGAAATATTTACTTTTGCTTATAAGCAGCAAAACCTCCTTGATGTTTAAGTGATGGCAGTTTCAGCCGCAGACTTGGCTCTGGCTTGCAGTTTCATACAAATGTATCATTTAATGTATGATTCACAATCAAAGCAAACAGAAATACAGTACAGCGAGGGTAAAGAAGAAGGTTTCCATAAATAGCCAACCAAATCCTAGAAGCTTGTTATGTTCTCATGATAGCTTGTTCTCTACATAAAGAAGAATTTGAAGATCCCCTTGTCAATTTATGCCAGAATCTTTCATGCTGCAAAGTCGCAACATCAATAAGTGAAATTAAACCCTATCTGCTTTTCTGTATATAAATCCAAGAGTTTATTTGTGTTTATTGAACATAACATATCATATACAGTTTATCCTGAAACAAAACGATTTTATGTTTTTGATGTTTTTATGGTAATCTGGAAAATCTGATGTAGGGGTTTTGGTATGTCTACCAACACACAGATTTTTATTAAATCTTTTCACAGCCCGAATTCCCATGTCATGCTACTGAATTTATTTCTTAGAGATGATGAAGAGAAATTAAAAGGAACAAGTGAAGAAGAAGGAATAAAAAACACAATCATAAATGATGAGGAAGATGATGCAATTGATGAGTACGATCTCGAAAATTACGATGAAGAAGGTGATTAAAGCTGCTAACCATTTATTAGATTCTTGGGCCTCTGGTTCTAATTAATGTCATTGCAGTGATGTTATCTGGCTGAATTCTGTTCCAAAAATGTACCTGAACAATCACTTTACTTATACAGTAATGATTTGACTAAAAGGGTAACATGTGAATTAATCCTGATGCTTTATATGCCAAGCTCCCTTCTGAAAGTTATCTAAAATTCAAATTTTTATCTTGATGTTGGCTCTAAAACATGAATGGAAAATCTGAAAATTTTGTCCATAACAGCAACTTTATCAGTTTTATCATAATATGAATATGGGGAATATTTTGGATGAAACAGGAATCAGACAATATTGGCTTCATTCAGTGTTATTTTCATAAATGGAAGCAGTACCTTTGAACATTACAACTAAAATTTTGCCAGAATTTGGGTTCAATTAAATCAACTAATTGTCATTATAAGCTTAGGTAATAAATGCATTATATTTTAACTGTGGTAGATATGCTTTGAAACTTAGCTTATTGTGCTTATAACAAATATGAATCTAATTTCGCATTCAGAAATTTGCTTTTTTTCAATTGCACAATTTTTGTTTTTTCACATTATCATTTCATTTTAAATGGGGTGTGTTAAGAATGCCTTATTCATTTTAAAATATTTTTGAAGAATATTGTATATATCAGGCCTGGCCGTTTGAGGCGAGCGATAGCTCGCGCTCGCCTCCACGCTCCCCTCGCAACCTGAGGCGAGCTATGAATTGCTCTCCTAAACAGAACATGAAGGAAGAATCGCTCCCCTAAAATTTCCTATTCAGAGAATTATGAAAACGCACAAGGGTTAATTGGTTTATTTTTGTAACAGCGATTTCTCCCGTCATTGCATTTTTTGCAATTAACTTTTTGCTTGTTGGGCGAAATTGGAAAAAGTAGCGATTACATTTGTAGCGATTAGAACCTTTCAATCTTAAGAAAACAGGAATATTTTTGGAAGGAAAGTCGAAGAAATTGGTAGGAATTGTAGATTTGGGATATAATAAGAGACAGCAGGTCCCTTCCAGCAATAGAAACAAAACTATGCCTCAAAGAGAACAAGGTACTCTGTCTTGCAGATTAAAAACGACAACCAAAACATGGAATTCCACTATCCAGCGGCATTTACTGAAAAACCCAGATTGGGTGAAAACTATAACGGCAACATGTTTGGCATTATTGGCAAAGCCTGATCATCATTCCATCTAGCAGTTTGTGAATCTATCTACTATATAAACATGACCGACCGCTTCTGTGTAGACATAAGTGAGTTCGTTTTCACCTTAGGACTCCGTTGGTAACATTTTCAATACGAAAGCGGCACTGATTGGACAACCTCAACAGTCATGTGCGCGCGTTTTCTGATTGGCCTATTTCTATCCAAAACTGGGTATTTTAGCGTAGAGTTTTCCATCTATGTTCAAGTAAAGGGGGTGCCTAAGTCACGGTTAAAGCAAATAAAAATGGAAAGAAGTAAAACAGCATACTCCTGACTAAGGCTATTACATTAAGGCAACCGGCAGATACTAAAGGGGCTTATTAAGTCATCTGTCGATTGTCTTTAAAGTACATTCTATGTGTTACTGATTTAGCTCGCCTCAGCAAATGAGGGGAGCCATTCACAGCTTGCCTATAAAAATACAAACGGCCAGGCCTGATATATAGAACTCGCTGAAAGCTTTTTAGAAATATACCAAAATTTGTAGCATTAAGTGTTTTGATGTGTCTGTTGCTGAAGTCTAACTCATTGTGTTGCAATTAGATGTGATACTGCATCTCTATGTTGGGTAAGGGGGGGGGGATAAAAGGATAAGAGGGCAGAAAGTTCGGGGATAAGAGTAATGACTATATTTTTTTACATGGAATAGATTTTTTTTAACATGGAACGTCACATGTCACCATGACAATTGCCATATAATTTTAGTGTGGTTTTGAGTTACTGCACCTTTTCATAAAGATTCTATGTTGTTATAACTTAAGAGTGACACATGGAAAAATCATATTTTAGATGATGGAGAAATGATGACAGGTGCTGGCATGGCAGGACTAACATACTTTGCTTCAAATGAAGATGACCCTTACATTACCATGAAAAATATTGTAAGTGTAATTCAATAGATTTTGTTGAATAATTGAGTCTGTGGAATTGTGTGGGTGTTATTTTGAACAAGGTTGCATAAGCACACTTAATCGTATGTAGCAGGAAATGTCTTTAACCACAAAAGTCAGGCTTATAAACAAGGACATGACTGGGAATCACATCACCCTGAAAGCATGATGAGTAGTCAAATGTCTTGGAAGATACTTTACTTTTTCAAAACCCCCAAAACAAAACTGTTCTTTTATCCATTTTAATACTCAATTGGATAATTTAAATCGTTTTTTTTAAATGGGAATGAAAATGAATTCTCATGATCTCTGTTTATATATCTTTCAAAACTTCATATCAATATCAACAATTTATACAGATTGCATTTTGTGGTTCGACATTCAATTTTTTGTTGTCTAATTTTAATTCCAACATTTTATTCCAAGAGTGAGCTCAACAGTTTTGTTCTTTCTAAAATTAAGGAGGATGAAGACAGGGATGATTTTCTTATCAAACCAAATGATAATCTCATTGCCATTGGCAAAATGGAAGAAGAATATTGCAATTTGGAGATTTATGGTATATTCGCAATTATATTTTGATTCTATCTGATTATATTATATGAAATAGGAATATGATATTTTGTATATGTTCTGATTTCTTTAAAATTTGCATAATTCCTTTCATATAAATTCTATTCTGGCTAAAAATGTTAACTTTAGTGTGCTATGCTATTGAAAATTAAAACTGAATTCTGTAATAAAATATTTTATTATCTTGATGATATTTTTTGTGTTAGATTCTCGAGTTTCACAGCTTAGACGTATAATCTTTTATTCTAGTTTATAACGACGAAGAAGGCAGTCTTTATGTCCATCATGATATTTTGTTGGAATCAGTTCCCTTAGCTGTTGAGTGGATGAGTTATGACCCTACTTCAGAAAATCAGTCAGGTATGCTTCTATGAAATATGGTGATCTGAAAATAATAGCTATTAAACTAACATATTGAAATCATGACCAGTGGCTAGCATTATCACAGGACAGGCTAGCATTTTCATTTATACCTTAAAGTTTTCCTCTCTATTATAGAGTCTGAAAATAAGTGGCTTTCCCGAAAACCTTCAAGTTTTTTTGCTGAGTCCAAAATGTCCTTTTTTCTATCTCTTGTAATTTTTATTTGAATTGTAAAACACGACATTCTACTTGTGACGAATTAAAAACAAGTGCGACGTGAATAAGAGCTAAAAAATATTGCAAATGGAAGGCTTCAGATTGGTGTTTTCTGATGGTAATATTATTTTGATGAATAGATGATGAATTTTTAAACATATGATGGAAGATTCTCTGAAGTAATGCCTTAAATCCTCGAATTGGCCCCTCCCCCTCGTATAAGCCCCCTGTCTATTAAGCCCCCACTCTCAAATATATCAAAGTTTTGAACTAAAATATTTTCCTGCTTTGGTTTATTTTTTCATCGGATATCTTAGAAAGAGTTATTACGTGAAACTGTATTTGAAATTTACTTGAAAATCGAGAAAAAGCTACAAAACGAGCTATGATAAGTTCTAGATTAACTGACCACTCAAATAAGCCCCTCATGAATTAGTCCCATCTAAAAAGTACTTGAATCAATAGTCCGCGGGCGGCTAATTTGAGGGTTTTCGTTATCGATGTATTTACAGAGTTAGAAATTTAGTTGTCCTGCTAAAAATATTTTCTTTGTAGGTAACTTTGTGGCCGTTGGAACAATGGATCCTCATATCGAGATATGGGATCTTGATGTGGTCGACACAGTAGAATCTGTTTATACTTTGGGCAAAAAGCCAAGAAAGAGTAAAAAGAAAAAGAAGAAGGCTGCGGCAACGACAGCTAATGATGGACACCAGGATGCCGTGTTAGGGCTCTCTTGGAACCGTAATGCACGGTGGGTAATTTTATGACGTCAGTAAGCTACGTAACAATTGAGTAAGAATTATATATCTTATGAAAAGATCAACCCGGTTTCCCTTTACGAAGAGTTGATCTTCGATATTATCATGCTTTTTCTAGCGGATTAATGACAACGTAGCGAAGTAGCGATATCTAACTGTCAAGATATGATGGGCCTAACCTTGATTGTGTAAGGAATAGCGAAAATTATAGGGAAAACTATCAAGTGAAAGTTCCAAAGGTAATGATCCAGAGGTAAAAACCTCGAAAGGGACAGAATGATACAAACTTTGGGAATCAAAATTGGAGTTCACAATGGATACGCATGTTGGTTTTACCTCTCACATATCACCATTTCTCTTGTCATTGGAGCACTGGTTATTTTATCTCGCAACTATTGACAAGCTGACTGCTCAATCAGCTCTACTTTCTCAATCTCTACTTAAAAAAATTGTAAGCAGACTCTTATATTTTTCAAACTAGTACGAAATAGCGTAATATTAGCTCGTATTTCTGAAACATACTTCTCAGCCGACACTCCTCACAGCACTAGAAGTGAAGACAATGCGAAAAACGTCAGACGAAAAACGTTAGTTGGATGTGCAATATTTCCGGTATTTCGTACCATTTTGAATTTCTCATAACTAGCAGAAGGCTGAGCCTGATATAATTATAAACAATTCTCTCCATTATGACTAAGTTGATAATTTTGTTTGTAATCAGAAATGTGTTGGCAAGTGGATCTGCAGACTTCACTGTGAAACTCTGGGATATGGCGCAATGCAAATGTGTACATTCCTTGGCACATCATAAAAATAAGGTTAGTTTTACGCTGCAAGTGATAAAGCAATCTTCTTTTATTGATCTTATGCACGACCCTACATAAGGGGACTGCATCCCTCTCTCTAACCGTTTCCATCTTTTCTGAGACAAACAAAACATTTTATGAATGAGCAGGACAATGAAATGTTTTCTGATTTGTTAAAGTATGCCATTTTTATTACTTTCATCATTTATTGCTAGGTTCCTCTGGCTCTGAAAGTATTGATCCGTTTACTAAGGAGGCAAACAAATTGTAATAATTTGTCAGGTTACTTTGCAAAAAGACGTCTGACTTTACAAACTTTTCAGTGGAGATTCAATTCCTTTTTTGTATTCGTTATCCGAATATCGAAGATTTGAAGTCTCATGTAAGACCCCATTCAAACGGGATCGAATCTTAATGGAACCGTATCCATGTCAATCTGGTCTTATGTAAACTTGATCGAAACGGGGGAAATGAAAAAGGGGGGAGGATACCATATTATTCCTTTAAATTGCGATCATGTATAAAGTTGAAAAGAATTGAATCATATTCTGTCATCTATAGCCACAGTTTGAATTAATTTAATAAGAAACATGGTTATTCAAGCAAATATTTTAAGTAGCCACAAATTCTTTTTATGTCGTACAGTTTGTACATAGAATACATTCATAATTAAAGTATGTTACTTTATTTGAAAACCTCACTTTAAATGTTTAGGTTCAGTGTTTACAATGGCACCCTTACGAAGCACAATCTCTTCTCACTGGATCATTTGACAAGTAACGTGCTTTCTTGCAAACTATTTTATTGTCTACTTCATTAGTATCCTCGAATATTTCTTTATTATTCGTTTAATTTGCAATCTCAAGACCAGCTTCCGAGGAAGACATTTTTCTTGGGAAGCTCTGTATTCCGGGTCGAATTATTATTTTACTCCATGGTATCATAAAGTAATGTTCCTTTACGATCATTCGTCGTCGTTTTGTTGTTACTGCTATTTTTCCTGTATTCTACTCAAACCTGATAAATACAAAAGGGCTGTACTATGAATTTTTGTCCCGTTTGTGACAAGGAAGGAGCCATGCTAAAAGAAAAGTTGGTTTTTGTAGATTTCCAAGCTTAAGTGCCCTTTATTGGAAAGCCTATTGAAAATATTTAGCCAGGCAGACTCGATCCTTTCAATAGAATTATGAATGGGTTCTAATCCTATATAAAGAACCTATTTAATTGTTTATCAGCGTTATCAAATGAAAGTTATCAAAAAGCCCTCACTGAATCATTGGACTGAAATTTTGCCTCCAATTATTATGATGTGTTAACCTGTCTTGTCTAGCCGAAAGATGGAAACGACCAATTCATTTTCCTGTTTCTTTTTTGTAACTTATGATCTCTCATCGACTTAATTTATAATTTCGATTCTTTAATTGATTTTTAGCACTGCACATGTTTTAGATTGCCGGAATCCCGAGGTAAGGGTTTTTTAGTATTTCATAAACTCAGTTAAAAGCTAAACATTCTATTGGCTTTAAACTACTCTATTTATCATTATATTTCGCATATTCGAAATGTTAGTTGCTGGATGCCTTCATCAAAATCTATATTTGTTTGTTAAGTTACAGTTTTCACATTTTTCTTACCTTATAAAATTCTTTATACGTTTTTTTGGAACAAATTATTTTGATTCTATCTATCGTTTTGGTTTTAAATTTTGTACCGATTATATTTTGGTGTAGGGTTGCGATTTATTGTCATAAAGATTCATTAAGATAGATGAAAAGTTACTTCCATTGAAAGACAGGTTTAGCTAGGCCTTACTTTTCAACATGATTAGACTATATATTTTTTATCAATCTTTGGTAAATGCTTTTTTCGAGGCTATACCCAATACGCTTTGATTAGATTTTTTTAAATTCCTTAATTGTAATAACAAATTACCAATTCGCTACAGTAAAGGTTGATAAAAGTTTTTCCAATGAATTATAAGATCATACCTTTTTGTTTATTTGAACAAATTGAAGATCTCTTTCTGTGAGTTTGATATTCCTAGCCAAACCGTCTCAATCTCTTGTCCAGTTTAGGGCCACAGTGCTGCGTAAAAAAATCGTAGTCTGCGAAGGGTGGATGCCAAGGCTACTTTAAGTACATTCTCGTGAATGGAAATCGAATTTTTTCTGAATTCTGTTCAGTTGCACAGGTTGAAAATTTTATCAAATTTTCTCTTTTTCCCTAGAGTCGAACAAAATCTTGGAAGATGGATGGCGAAATCGAACGCGTTCTGTGGGATCATTTTTCACCATTTAATTTCATGGTACTGTTTGCAGCTTCATTTTTGTGTATAAGACTTTTACGTATATTTTACGTAGATGAAAAAGAAATCATTGTTCAGCTGCTATGTAACGCTATTGAATTACCTTGTATCATCATTGGAACAAAGGGATTCGCCTGTTCCTTGTCTTATTTTATAGGCGGGTGATTTAGACATTGGCGACCGCTTAACTATACATCTTGTTCCTACCTCCTGTTCCCCAACTATGGTTTTCTCTCTCGGACTTCTTCGGTTATCTTTCTTTTTTCTCTGGTTCCCACCATTTGCCTTCCTAGCTTCTTATCTCCTTGGCTACCCTTCTTCCGTCTCCCCTACCCCGGCTACCCTTTCCCTTGGCTACTCCTACCTTTACTAACTCTCTCTTGGCTACCCCTCAACTCGTCTAAAACTTCCCCAGCTACATCTCCCCTTGGCTACCCCTCTTCCTGTCTAAAACTTCCTCCGCTACACCTCCCTCTGCCTATCCTTTCCCCCAGCTACCTCCCCCTGGCAACCCTCCACTGGAACCCCCTCTCTGCGTACCCCCCGCGGCCAATCCTCTCCGGCCAACCCTCTCCGGCCCGCCCCTCTCAACACCCTCTCCTCGGCTGCCCATTCCCGGCCCTCTTTTTCCAGGATGATCGGATTCTCATAAGTTGCTTTATCTTGTAGGCAAGCACTGATCAAGGCACTGTTTACTATAATGACGTCAGGAGCGATTCTCCAGTCTTCCAGATAAGTGCTCACAATGATGCAGTTACAGGTGCGCATGTCAGTAAGGGCTATCGTTGAATTCCACACATGATTCGATCAAATACACCAGATTTACTGACTACTTTCCTATTAATTAGCAGTTTTATACAGAAAGGCGATTTCCAATTACTGCTTTGGCATCAGTAGATATAATTACAGTTTTAGTTCCTGTGAAGTCAAAGCCATTGTGGTAGTTTTATTGCAGGCAATAATTATCAAAATGTTAAGATCCAGTTATAGATCCGAAGTCTTTGCTCAAACAGTGATTTTATTACTATTCACGGAAAGTATGAAATGACATTTCTATTGAAAACGCAAACAAGAGCACTCAAAAAAGTCGTTTTATTGGTTTTGAGACTCTTTGCTTTTTGGTTGAACACTCGATTCTTCAGCCTAAAATCTTAGACAGACAATGTTGAGATTTTTCACCCCATCCCCTCCCCCATTTCAACGTTGATATCTCTATAGACCCTAATTACATCATGGCGCAGTGCATTCTGGTACTTGTAGTTAAACCCGCGAACATTTTTTTATGTTTCGTACGTTGATAGGACGAAGTTCTCATCTCATGCTCAAATAATCAAACAAATCATGGAATATACGGCAGAATGCACCGAAATTGATGTACACAAAAACCTTTAATAGGGGAGGGACTAGAGCTTGGTCTTTACTAGCTTCATACCTGGCATCAGTTTAGGAGTTTGTCTTAACGGCTGTATCCAAGATTGTAGAATGTAGATCGTTAGAAAACACACTAGAAATTCATCAAAAGTTGTTCATATGTACCATTCTGTTAGAATTGAGTCAATTCTAATAAGAATTGTTTTGATTAGCAATTAAGGAAACATAACGAACCATAATGTATATTTTTGAAATGAAAGTGAAGTTATTGAATTAATTCTAAAACCAAAATCACAACTTGACGTTTCAAATTATTGAATATATTCATTATGTATACAAACCTTCTTTTTGATACGTTAGCTTATTATCTATTACGTATTGCTTAAGGAATGTTCTAACTTTAGAAGTAAAAGGGTTTTTGGTTTTGCTGTAACATCAACAACAAGATTTTTCAGAGACAGCACCACACTTCTTGCAGAAAGTTTAAATTTATGCTATTAGATACAATCCGATACAATTTAATAAAATATCGAGGCTTTTGATCAGAAGTTCTGCTAACATCTGAATGCTTTCCACGCATTCTGTTAATTGTAGAAGCAGTTTATTCAATAGCCTATCAAGTCAAACAAGAAGCACGATTATTTCGGATTAATATAATGTTGTTTCTGTTTCAGGTTTGGCTCTAAGTGCACAAGTATCAGGTTGTTTGGTAACAGCTTCTCCAGATAAAACGATAAAAGTCTGGGATTATAAAGAAGGAAAGCCAGCATTTGTCATGTCCAAAGATATGAAAATGGTAATTTGTTCAAAGAACTTAGTTTATGTTGATATTCGTAATTGGCAGGGGAAGTATAATTGGCTGTTGGATGATTAAAAGTAAAAAATCATCCTCTCAACCATATCTGCTAAGTGAATGTTGTGTATCTGTGTTGGGAGCTTTTTTTAGTTGGAAAAATCATCAGTGGTCGATAAAATTTGTTAAGAAAGGGTCTGATGATAGTAAGAGGGTAAGAAATGTTGTCTGCTTTAGACATACCGTATTTCCTCGTCTAAGCTTCACCTCGAGTGAAGTGGCCACTTAAAAGCACTGGAATTAATAAAAGACTCCCAACTATAAGCAATGCAAACAAAATTCGTATCTGCAAATTTGTTCGGAAATGCATTAATAACGAGATATGCGAAATTCTCAAAGATCATTTCATCGTAAATAAAATCATAGTGAAGGGACAAGAAACGAAAACAACAGTCTGCAAGTGCCGCCAATCAGGACCGAATATGCCCGCAAATCATTTTACTACCCAGGAGCAAAGATATATAATCAACTTCCTCTAAAAATTAGAAAAATTGAAAGTTCTTTTGAATATGCAAAGAGCCTCAAAGAATACTTTAACTAAACTTTGATTTAATTTTTACTAAGAAAATAAGTCTTTTATTTGGAAATATTTTAACTTGTTTAGCTTTTTAACTTTCCAAATTCTGTCATTGAAAATTGTAATTTAATTTAGGGAATTTTTAACTGTTTTAATGTTACAGGACACGCATTGAAAACAGCCTTCATTCGCTGAAATGTTTTATTCTGTATAGATATTCGAATTATTATTATTAAGCTTGTTTGTCTGACACTCCTCAGAGCATAAAACTTCAGAATCAGGGTCCGAAAAAACACGATGAAAAATATATACCCAGTTGTGGATCGAAATAGGCCAATCAGAAAAACGCAAGCACAAGACCGGTATAGTTGACCAATCAGTGCCGTGAGCCTAAAGAAAAATTACCAATGGAGTCCAAGAGAGAAAACGAACTCCTTCTGTCTACACAATGGCGGCTTTTTCGTTTGTATGTAGATCGACTCCAAAAATGAGGAGTGTCAGACGAAACGCTTTTAATATGTTGTAAAATGTTTGCTTTTTTCAAAGCCATTTTCAAATCCTGTACCTCGAAAAAATTGTTCATATTATTAAGCTCCGGGAAGCATTAGGCCCAATGACATTTCTTCGAATCCTTGATTTATTTCCTTTTGTTTTAGGGCCGCTTGCATTTCGCGTGCGCATGTCCAGACGCCCCTTATACTTTTGTTTTTGGAGGCGAAAAAGATGGCGTGAGGGTCCTAGACCTTCTTGATACTCATGCAGGTTGGTAAATAATTTTGTCTGGTGTTCGAGATGTTTTCTGCATCACTAAGCCAGCAGTTTTTTTTGTTTTCATTCAATCTTTTCGATAAATATTTTCATTTAATATTTTCTCAGGCTTGTTTTCCTAATGATGAACCCCTTTATGCCGGGGCGAAATATTAGTATATTCTTTAAATTTAATTTATTTTGAAAATTTTATTTCGTGACATTGGATTCTCGTCGTCGTATTGCTTTGTTCCTGTATATCTTTCATAACAACACTCATTGCAAGATTCACAGAATCCGGCGGACAGCCTATCCTGCGGTTCTTCCCTCTCACACATTGTTTTTCTAAGATTTCCTCAACTTATTTTTAATAAAATCATCTTCAAACCTATACGAATTTACATTATTTAGTTTATTAAGTGATCAGTTATACAATTTTTGGAAAAAACAAAATATACCTTATGTTTGTTTAGTTATGTAAACTTCAAACTTCGTTATTCTTTTCTTCTATTTTTGTTGTCAAGATGCTAGCTCCAAACGATGACTTTTTAAATTAACTACATAAATAAAGTATTTCAGTATTTTTCATCTTTTTGTCTGCAGGAAAAGATCACTTTGGAAATAGGAATATGGCATCTAAAAATGTTCCGGACCAAGATATATTGCCACTGCAAAAGGTAATTCTAAGAATGAAGACAGAATTTTACTTTTAGTTCACACTTCGTGGCGTTTATGAATGAGTTCTTAAAGTACTCAGTAAATTTATTTATTCGTCCATTCATTCACTCGTTTATCCATTCATTCATTTATTCAATCAATCAATGTAATTTGTTTGGAACATGTTTAATTCCGAGATATTGTTTCTATGATAATTTCTTTTAATGGGTTATGAACCTTGTTTTCAACAATGGTCAACTTTGATAATAATTTAACATTTCCCGGAGCCTCTTCTCCCAGGGCCTCGTTTCCCAGAGCCTCTTTTTCACGGAGCCAAATTTCAAGAACCGTTTTTCCCTGACCCGTTGACTAATTTTAACATCAATATTTTTTATTTTTTAAGGAAACAGCGAAAGTTGAAGAAAAAATGGATGCAGAGTCTGCTGAAAATGCTTTCGCATCTTTAAGTCTACAAGGTAGGACTAGTAATGAATCTAAGGACATTGTAAAAAAGAAAAAGAAGAAGAACAAAAAGAAGTAAGAAGACGAATTGAAGTATAGTAATATTATCTTTTTGATTCACGTTGATAAGTATGGTTTTATATTCCTATTGATTTCACAAGATTTGATCAAACTGAGCTAATTTGTAAACACAGCAGCGAAAGTCATTTTTCTTCTCTTTCAAACACAGCTGCCAAAAGACATTTAAGGACGTGTCATACACATTTTAGATAAAAACACCACATCAACGCATTCAAATGTTTCTGCAAATTTAACCTTCTCTTACTGTTGTCATATGTTCTGTATGTCGAATTCCAAATGAGAATTTCGGTCCGCTTTTTCTATGTACCAAGACCTGGAAAGAGCAACAATTGAATTGTTGTAATTGAACTATAATGTGTAAGGACCTTCGGTTTCAATTCAATGCACAAGGCAAGGCTATAATTTGAAATAAAATCGTCTGTTGAGAATTTGTGATTCGCAGAATCTTCATAGTATCCATATTTAGATATTTTGAAGATGCTTATCATTGCAGTGAGCTCTTTATGAGTTCAAAGCGAGTGTTCTTCATAATTATGAAAAGTTCTAAATTGCTTCAAATTATAAAAATTGATGATCACTTTTCAGACTTTTTGATAATTTGTTCTTTTTAAGAATTATAGAGATTTTGACTTGCTAAAATATCAATAATTAATATGTAACTTAGGCCGAGCTATGAATTTGTTGTTAACCCATAACTGAAATTCCATGTAACTTGGGCTCATAGACTTAACTAAAACTGATAAATTATTTTTCAAAATTTTTTTAACAGTATTCCCCTTCTGAAATTTCTTCATATTATCAATTTTATTAATCAAGTGAGAAAATTTGGCCAGTAATAAGCCTTAAACTTAATACTGTAGCTCAAACTTTCACTTGACTAATTCCTTTTTTATGATTTCACTGTTTTTTATTTCTAATCTCTATCTTCTTTCCGAAATTTATTGACTGTAAAATTGCTGTGACGTCACCTTCTCTGGGCTGTAGGCCCCAGGTCCCGGAGTAAAAGACTTCTCTTGGCCATCGAAATTTCTTCCTGTTATCGAGTAGGCCGGATTGTTTTTCAAAATCACCTTGATGTTCCATCCTCTGTATGTGCCTGGTCCAGGTGTCTGTGAAAGAAAATAATCTACTTTAGTTTAAGATATTTTTAATTATTTATGCCACCATGGTGTTTAACCAGAGTCCATTAAAAGAACATGCTTTCTACTGTCAAAGTGCCAAAACTTTATCAAGTCTTTAATAATTTGTTTTAAATTATTTTGTTTTAAATATTCTTCTTCGCAGTTTTTCAGCCATTCAGCCACTACTGTTTATGATCTCATTGATAAACGATACAGTGTCAAAGAGTTTCAATACTGCCTTCATTTCATTTTCAAAACCTCCAAATTTTTATTTGCATTCTCAGAGTTTCTACTGTTTAAAAAGGGATGCCTCGACAGCCTGGCTTTTGAAATTGAACTTATTAGGAAGGCTTAATTTCGTTACTAGGAAGTTTCAGTCACGTGAGAGTAACTGATTTGTCAAAATTAAGCCAATCGCGTGCCTCATTGATCCAGCTTTCTGTAAACTTTGTCATCGTCTGATCCTCATTTTGAAATTTGCTTTTGATTGTAACAAAAATTTACAGAAAGCTGCAGCGGAAAGACAGTGAAGAGTTGCAGATGGAATATGGAAACATGACCAAAACATGCAATAGTTTGATTCAATTTCTCACCTTTTGTAGATCTTCCCAGTATGCGCCAATCACAGGTCTCCCACTAATGGAATGTGCCGCAGCCGATGGCTTTACAATGCAGTTAGGCCCAATCAAACTAGGCAACGTGTAAGCATTTGCTGCTGGCCAGTCATCTTGTCTTGCGTGCGTTGTTCGGCCACCAAACGAGTAACTTGGCGCTTTGCGGTCGTTTGGGATGGGATACTTCTCTGGTTTATAGTTTCCTAGAAAAGTTCGCCGAACTTTTTAGTTAAAATATTGTCTGAAAGTTTTGATAAAGGCTTAGCCAATTTACACTGGAATTTGATTGGCATACAGCATAACACACTGTTAAGAGGCTGAAGCTTTGTTAACGACGATGAGAGCTGAAAGCCTCCATTTTATGCCGTCACACGTGTTTACAAGCTGCAATGTGATTGGTCAAAATAAAATTGTCACTTAAAAGTGGCCAATCAGATGATTATAGATTGACCGACTAGCATGGTTGAAAATACTCCACTTGTAATCTGACCATTTCATTAAATTTTTGCTGTAACTATGTTTCGAACTTATGTAGAAGTCAAGAGGAGGTCCAAACAAGGTATGGAACCCATATCGAAATTGAGTGGATTCTTTGCCAAATAGAGCTTCATATCTACATATAAAATTTATCTTATCATCCAAATTGATTATTTCTTTTTTGTTTCTGACAATATTATCAGTCTTTAAAATTTTGTTGAATAACCATAGAAGAATAGTCTTATAAATTTACCTGGAGCTGGTGTGAGAAAGTTCGATTGCTCTTTAGGCTTTCCATACAAAGAGTATGACGGGGCTGTGTCTTTACCCGTCTTTGTTAGGAAATTCGGAATACGGTAGCATGGTCCAGGGGATTTTTCTATTGGCTGTAGGGAAGAAAAAGATTTATACGAAAATTCTTTAGATATACAAGATATACGTCTATACGTCAGGTTTATACGTTAGGTCATCGTTGTGTCATGACCGTTGTCATGCTAGGAAATTTTTTAAAAACTTTACAAAATTGAAATATTGAAACCTGATACTGTGTTTGTGAGATATGTAACGTCTAATTTTTTTAGTACCACAATGCAAAGAAACCTGGTTGCCATATCGTCGATTTTTTCTAAGACTTCATTTAGGGGTTTAGCTTTTGTTCCTATGAAGAAGTAACGATTCTCTAAAAAAATTAATATAAACAAGACGAGCAACTTAGAACCGTCCTGTTCTATACACAAAAAGCGTTTACAGCTTTGGCTATCAGCATCGCGCACTTCATGACAGACCGGTGAACTGTAAATTTCATCAATATAACAAGATATTTTGCTGGAGCTGGACAAGTCATTTCTCTAGTCGGTGCTTTAAAAAAGCCTCTGCCCTCTACTCTTTCTTAAGGACTTTTTCCAAAATGAAAATTTTACTTTAAATCTCCAAAGGATATTGGTCTAGTTTAACGAGAAAATGAAGGATTTACCTTAATAATGAACCTTTTGCCAAAACTGAATGCAGGATTTCGCCGTTTCGTTGGATCGTGGCTGTTGTAGCCGACTAAGCCTGGCAAGCCATACTTAGCCGGGCCTGGCCCTCTCACTTTCGCTGCTATCGTTGGCCTTTTTTGCGGTTCGCCTTCTTCCGCTGCCATGTCTTTTGATTCTCCGTTTCTTATTTGACATTACAAGCTTTTCCAATTGTGACGTCATGATCAATGGTTACTTTACACTGCTCGTCACAGTGAAATAGTTTTAGAAATGCAGTTTCACACGATATACTATTCCGCTTAACTGGCCTTTTAAAAATGCCAGTTCCTTTCTGTTGAAGTAAGGTCTAATTT